TAATTTTGTAATAAGAAAATAAAAATGACACATATGGACCACTTCTTTCTATATATGATCACTAACCTTGACTTGAAGGAAGGTAATATATATTGTAAAGATAAAAGTGTTTATCAGAAAACTCTATGAAGGTATCAAGACTCAAGAGGTAAGCTATCTTCAGAGAATTAATGTTAAGAAAAGTGAAAGGGAGTACGACGATAACCCTTTATTCTATCATAGAGAGAATATTTGTTTATTTATACTTTTCACCTCTCTCTTATTTTGCTGTGCAGTGCTGCATCTACCGCTATATAATGACTTTCACGGTTTTCTTAGTAAGCAAATAAACTAACTTCTGCAAGGTTCGACTGTATCAGCTGTCTCCGGTGCCGACGACAAGTAAGTGGCAGTGTTCTCCATTATTTGTATTTTTTAGAAATCTCTGATTTTTTATATGCTGGAGAATGAGAATTATATTGGTGGTGTTTGGTTTCATTCCAATTTTCTGATAATAAAATGATGTTAGATTGGAGTCATATCCGATTTGGAAGAAATGACAAAAAAAATTATTGGCAAAATAATATTTTGCCTTTTTTTTCAAAAAACAGCCAATCTTAGAAAATATCATTTTGAAAATTTTTTTCTCAAAGCTTTTTTCGGTACGGTGGCTGATGTGGCTCCTACGTGGTGCCATTTTCTCAAAAAATGGCAATGACAGTGCCATATATAAACATTTTCTCAAAAATGACAAAAAAGACAGAAAGTTCTTGTCAGCAATCTATGGATTGTCAGTTTTTTTTTTTTTTAATCTTCTGAAGGGCTTCACTCTCCTCTGACCAGCAAGAAACCTTACAAATCAGCTGGTTGGCACCTTGCAATTGTCAGTTATGTCTCTAGACATATGTTCTTTCCTATTGACAAGTGAGAACTGAGATTGGTCCTTGAACCTGTTTGCACTCTCATATTCACTCTAAATTTCCTGCAAAGAAATGAGAATATATATCATCATATGTCACAACTTTATATTAATTCAATTCTCAATATAGCTACTTTCTTAATACAAGGTCTGTTTGGTTGCATATAAAATGAAAGAGATCCAACAGTTTTCTAAAATTTGTATTACTTTATGCTGCTTGGTATGGGATTTCCATGCAAGCAAAAATATTCTGTACACTATAAGTTTCGGAATCCAGCCGCACATTAAAAATATCTTCCCATGAATTTAATACACACATATCTATATATTTATACACACAGAGAAAATATTTTTAATAATGTCTGATTGGATGCTATATGTGCGAAGCTTTTGCTTGCAAGATTCGAGCTTGCATTCCTATATATGCTTTGCTGGATTCCCAATAGGAAATGCTCCTTCGAGCATACAATTACAGACTCTGTTCTAAACAAGATTGTGACTACAATGCAGAAACTACAGCCTGAAATCACATTTTTGAACTTACGTGCATGTGTATTTATTTTTGCATTGGTGAGCCCAAATTTCCTACTCACTCTCTATCCGCCGTTGGAGCCACACATCTCTATGGCTCCAATTCACGGTAGGTAGGAAAAGTGAGTAGAAAATACCGGGTGTGCATCGGTCCATGTTAAAGATCGACGCTAAAAATGTTAAATAAGTATATAATATATGTAATATCTCAACTTTTTCAATGGTTCAAGCCAATGAGTAATACATGGGGACTGAAAGAGAGTATTAATTTGTAGAGACTGTTTACAATTATTCGATTTAATGATTATCTTATAAATTTATAAATAAATCCTTTTGAGATAGCTATAAGGAGGGTGTTTAATATGCTGAATTGTTTTTCTTATCGTGAATAATTCCAAAAACAAAAACATCAAGATTGAAAAGAAGTTGGTTATTACAATAAAAAACACAGCTAGAAAACATATTTATATAGTTGTATATGTGTTTTTTACTTGTTGAAACGAAAAAAATCGTTTTGAATTTCTGGTTTAAAGAACACTTTTTCACCATAAATCAAATACAATATCTATATAGCAAATTTGTATTTTTGTTTTAAAAACATGAATTATTTTATGAAACAAAGACAACTTGCTTTTGCTTTTCAAAACACATATGAAGTTCAAGAAAGTGCTTCTGTTTTATTGCTGATGTGGCAATTTAAAAAATAAATAAAAATGAAAGCATTCATGTTGTAGAAAACTGAACACCCCTTATAGCTTTTGTTGGGTAATTAGGGTAACAAATGTTGCAAGGAAATACCGGTGGAATCTATAGAGACTTCAATTAGGGTAACAATTAGGTCATGGTATGTTGCTACAGTTAGCAGGATCCTAATGGATTTAAGCATGGCCACCGGCGAAAAGGTTTTCTCATAATCGATGCCCTCTTTCTGAGTATACCCTTTCACCACCAGACGAGCTTTGTAGGTCTCAATCTTACCATCGAGGCCTTTCTTCCTCTTATAGATCCATTTGCAACCAATTGCTTTTACCCCAAGGGGTGGATCTACTAGAGTCTAGACTTCATTGGTCTCCATTGAGTCCATCTCAACTCTCATGGCATCTACCCACTTCAATGAATCTATGTCCAACATAGCTTCCGTATAAGTCACAGGATCCTCCTCACTTGTCATAGCTTCCACCTAGTAACTATCGTAGTCATAGCCGAGACGAACTAGAGGCCTGGAAACCCAAGTAGATCTTATAGGTTGGTCATTACCTAGAACTTGTGGAACACCTCCCACTATCCTTAAGCCCTCCCCATCAAGAACAATTTCCTGACAATGATTGTTCAGGATATAATCATCCTTCAAGAAATGAGCATTTCGGCTACAGAACACCTTCTATTCTCCTAGGTCATAGAATAGGTAACCCATAGAGCCTTTGGGGTAGTCTACAAATAGGCAACGACTGGCCTTGGGTTCCAATTTGTCTGGACTCATTCTTTTAACGCGACAACCCTAAATCATTAAGTGTTTCACACTTGGTTTCCAGGCCTATTCGGAATTGATTTGGTTGGAACCCGGTTCAACACGTAAATCGCAATCTCTAATGCGTAATCCCAAAAGGATGTGGGTAACTCTGAGTGCATGAGAAGTGACCGAACCATATCCAATAAGTTCTTATTCCTCATCTCTGAAACACCGTTAAGTTGTGGTGTAGTAGGAGGAGCTAACTCTAATACTATCCCATTGACCTTCAACTAGTCCCTTAATTCGTCAGAGAGATACTCGCCACCTCGATTAGATCGAAGGGTCTTAATTTCTCTCCCTAACTGTTTCTCGACCTCTTGTTTGAACTCCTTAAACTTTTCAAAGATTTCAAACTTATGTCTCATTAGGTACACGTAACCATACCGAGAGAAATCATCGGTGAATGTTATAAAATAAACATGCTGGTTACATGTCCTAATACTCAAGAGACCACATACATTAGTATGTATAAGGTCAAGCGTACCTTTACATCTTTCAGGCTTACCGTTAAACGACATTTCATCATCTTACCCTGAAGGCAAGGTTCATAGGTGGGAAGATCTTCTACAGTTAGAAAATCCAAAGGACCATMYTTTACCAACCTTGTRATACGATCTATATTAATATGGCCAAGTCGGTAATGCCACAGGCACGTGGGATTAACTGTATCATGGAGTCTTTTCTTAGGGATATCATCCGACGTAGTTTCGGTTATGTTAGTTTCTAGAGAAGAATGGAGAACATAGAGACAATTCTCAAGTTCTCCATATGCGATGAATTTGTTATTTCTTTTAATAGTAATCGTATTACCAAAAACAATAGAATATCCATCCGCACACAATTTTGAAACAGAAATCAATTTTTTTCTCAAATTCTATACATAAAGACAATCTTTTAGTGCAATAGATCATTCTTTGAAAAATAACTCTACGGTTCCTATAGTCGTAGCTGCAACATTTGCAAAAGTCCCCAAGTAAAGAGTTACTTCTCCGTCACCCAGTCTTCTGCTTGTCCTGAACCCCTGCAGTGAGTTACACGCATGAGTCAAAGCCCTAGAGTCAATACACCAGGAAGCTGAAATTACCAATAAATTGGTTTCTATGACAAAGTATTCAAAATTACCTTGTTTCTTGGATTTCAGGTACTGAGGATAGTTCCTCTTCCAATGGTCGATCTGCTTGTAGAAGTGACAAGCATTTGATGCACTGTCCTTCTTCTGCCTCTTAGACTTGATAGCCTTCTTCTGGGGCTTTCTCTTAGCCTTCCTCTTATTCTTGCCCGATCTGCCAGTTTCAACAAGCATGAATATGAGTTCATCCTTCTTTATCAGTTCTTCGGCCCTCTACAACATGGGTTGCGACTGCTACCGTCTTGGTTGGCCATCTGATTGGGTGAATTCCCTGCTCTGATACCACCTAACGTAGCGTGGAAGCAATAAACCGGGCTGGCTATGCAAGCACCGGACGAACACAAGCCTTCGTCGTAAAGCCTGTGATAACTAGGCGTATGCCTTGGAAGAGAGAGAAGTGAATAAAGAAATTCTGTGTGTTTTTCTATTAACTCAGAATAACAGTATTTATAATACATTTGGTAGATTTGTAAAATAACTAGGAAAGTTGAAATTGTAAAAGAACTAAAACAACTAAAACAACTAGGAACTGGACTTCTAGAAATCTTCGAAATCTGCCTTTGATATCCACCGTCCGATAGCCACCATCTTCCAATGTTTATCAATGCATGGAACTGTCACCATTATCCTATGGTTGTTGGATCACATAAGGTCTCTAGACGTGAGAGACGTGAGCTGTCGCCAGCTGGTGAGATGGTCCTCCATCATTCTTCCTAGATAAACACGGCTTCTTCAGGATCGACATCGCCATCACTTACGGGTTGTTGGGAGGTGCAATTGCTCTAGAGATGTGGTCGCTGGTTCGATTTCTTCTGTCAGATTGGACCATAGTTTGGCTGAAGGACAAGCACCCCATATCGGCGAAGCTATCCGCCTTTCTTCTCCGTGTCATTTACGCTTGCCGAAGGTATGATAATTTGTGGTCTAACAAAATGGCGCAGTACAACCTTATCGACTTTTGCCTCAAAGATCGCCCCTCTCGTTGGAAAAAATTCCTGAAACTCATCAAAATGAAGGACAAGTTTGACAAGTATTGGTACAGAAGGTATGTTGATGTCAGTCCTGAGCTTAAAGAGTTCATGTTTAATGACCTCAAGAGCAAGTGGCAGAGCATTTCTTCCGCATCTTACAGGCATTTTAGTACTTTGAGAGGTGAATTAGCGCTTGAAGAGGTGCATCAGCTGCCCAATTATGATAGGGAGTATGTTAAGGAGCTTGACAGGAGTATTGAGGTGGAGTTTGATGAAACCATTATTCGTTGGCACATTGCTACCGATGTTTGCTGGAAGTTGGATTCAGACGACAACGTAATTAAGAACCGGCCGGATATTGAAAAGATGATAACTATTTGTGAGAATGTATCCAATTATCTACTGTATATTTTGGTATCGCGTCCTTTCATATTAACTGCAGGAATTGGACAGGTCAGATATGGGGACACATGTGCTGAGGCCAGCAATTTTTTCCATGGAAATGAGGACTACGATAAAGAAACCATCATCAGCCTTGATAGTCTTACAGTTTGCAAGAGGTTGGTGGACGTGGAAACTGATGTTGCACCCATGGACGTGAAAGGGGATAGAAGCAAATCTGTGTTGTTCGACGGAGTCAAGCTTGCAAAGGCGTTGAGGAAATTGGACGATGAGCAGAGGTGGAAGACCATGAGTCTGGTGTGGATGGAGATGTTGTATTATGCGGCAAGCCATTGTAGAGGAAATTACCATGCCCAGAGACTTAGTACAGGTGGAGAGCTTCTCACTCTGGTCTGGCTTTTGATGGCCCATCTTGGTATAGGAGATCAGTACAAAGTAGAAGCTGGTCATGCTCGGGCTAAGTTATCGGTTGTCGCAGATTGGTAATTATAATTATGCTTTGCTTTTAGATATATAATTCCTTTAGGTTGCATTTGGAAACGATGCAAATAATATATAGAGTGTAAAAGGGTTCATATAAATTGCAAAGTTGGGTTAGTTTTGTATTAATAAATTTACCTTTTTACTAAACATACTTTTAGCTGTAATGGGTGCAAATACATATTCAGATAAAACAAATGCTTTTTTATGGAGAATGACGGTTCAGCCCAGGGTCCAAATTTGTAGGCCCAAAGTAATGTTGGGGTAGGTGCCAACTTAGAGTTGATGCCAATTCATGGGCGGGCGCCCATGGAGTGTGGGTTGTTGACATTTTGAATGTTTATAGCTTTGCAGTAGAAATCAGAAATCTGCATTGGGTCATTCCTTACTTTGCCATTTTTTATTTTTTATCGAAAGCCCACTTGAATGCAAATTTATTTCTTTTTTATTGATGTATATTTACATCTTATTATCAATGCAAATATGCATTGATCTGTCATTTATCAATGCAAAAATGTAATATTGCCAAACACTGAAAAAAGTGAACTAGAGTACAAATTTACCACCCTAAACTGGGATTTACACTCCATTTGCATCGTTTCCAAATACAACCTTATATATCTAAACTAGCTAGAATGGGTTGTATATCTAAACTAAATAATTACTTTATTTCTTCTTCTTCTTCTTCTTCTTTTCTTTTTGATTAAAATAGGAGCTACACATGTACAAAAAGAGGAGAGGGAGTAGGGCGTCCCCAAACAATCACTAAAACAAATATAATTAAGAGACTAAGGCAGACACCCAACAATTACATGGAAAGCATGATGAAAGGTGACACCACAATCAATCAAGGCTAGCTTTGAGTCACTCTCCTTCAAGGATAATAGGATAGTCTCTAAAGTTGATTGTAGTGTCAAGAGATTCCCAGCAATCCACACTTCAGCTAAAATAATAGTAAAGAAACCAATCGAAGGTCTATGAACTATCTTGAGATAACACTTAGCAATACACGCAATAAAGCACCAACCATCATACTTGCAGGAATCATCAAAATTGATCTTAATAGGCTGAAACCACACTATTGGTTTCCACAATTTATGGACATCAGCCACCCCATCATTATCATAGGAATCAGAAGATAACACTTTTTTCATTAACAAGAGGATCCAATGTCACACTATTAAGCTAAGAAAGAGGAGTCCACCAATTCCTAACAGAAGAATCACACCATCATCCAACCAAACTAGGTAATTAATTTGACCCAACAACCATCCAAATCAATTTCACAAAACAGTAGTTAAAAATATGGTTGAGGTCTTCCACCCTTCCCATAGTGGTTGCAAGATCTGTTAATATTACATCCCTTGTTGATAAGAATTTTTTTGTAGGTAACTTAAAGTTTAATACCAAATAAAAGAAAAGCATGCATTAAGTTTTAGGAGAATCTGAATTCTCCATGCATTGTTAAGAATTCTATTAATATAAGAACTAGAAGAGGGGCCCTGCTTCACAGGGGCTGGAATGTAACCGTTGACCCGTTGATCCGTTGACCTAATCTTTGGCCAAAAACTGTTGAATTGGTTAATGATCTATTGACTCGAACGGTTGAATCGTCGACCAGTTGACTCGTTCAATATTTTTTTGTCATTTTTTTTTTATTTTTTTCATTGGGAACCATTCGAACAACTGGTTCCGTTTTATCCTAATCTCGATCCCTAGCCAAAAATCGTTGAATCGATCAACAACCCATTGACCCAAGCGGTTGAACCATTGACTCGTTCAATGGTTTTTGGTCTTTTTTTTTTGTCAGAACAGGCCATCCGTTCAAACCAAACAGTCGAACCGTCAACTAGAAAACCGGTTGCCAGAACAGTTCCATCTTCAGGTCGTATGAGTCACATGCTTGAATGACATAACATGTATGGTACTGCTTAATGGACCTCAGACACTCAATTTTTTGCCAGTAATTTTATTTTATTTTATTTTTGTCAGAACAGGTCGTCCGTTTTTTTTTTAATTGGATACCATCCAGGCAACCAGTTCCGTTTTACCCCATTCCTGGTCCCTGACCAAAAACCGTTGAATCAGTCAATGACCCATTGACCCAAGTGGTCAAACCATTAACCTGTTGACCCATTCAATGGTTTTTGACCATTTTTTATTTCTTTTTTGTTGTCAAAATAGGCCATCTGCTCAAACCGGACGATCGAACCATCAACCTAAAAACTGATGGCCAGAATGGTTCCATTTTCGGGTCGTATGAGTCATACGCTCGAATGACATAACACGTATGGTAATACTTAATGGACCTCACACACTCAATTTTTTGCCTGTAATTTTTGTTGTTAGAAAGGGTTGTTTGTTGAAATCAGACGGTTGAACTGTCGACCCGAAAATCGGTGGCCATAATGGTTATGTAATTTTTTGTTGTCAGAACGGGCCGCCTGTTCGAACCAAACAGTCGAACCGTCGACCCAAAAACCAGTGGCCAGAACGGTTCCGTTTTCGGGTCGTATGAGTCACACACTCGAATGACATAACACATATGATACTATTTAATGGACCTCACAAACTCAATTTTTTGCCTATAATTTTTGTTGTCAGAACGGACCATCCATTCGAACCGGATGATCGAATCGTCAACCCAAAAATTGGTGGCCTTAATGGTTCTATAATTTTTTTTCTTGTAATTTTTGTTGTGAGAACGGACCATCCGTTCAAATTGGACGGTTGAACCGTCGGTTGTCAGAATGTTATAACAACATTTATCAATAATAGTAAGTAATTATATTATTTAATTAAATAATCATTAATGATAGTTTTAATAATATAATTTAGTTATTTTTTCATATAAAAGTAAATATTAAATTTATGAATAGGATTTATTAACAATACTCATTCAATTAATAATTACCAAAATTAAATTAAATTAATAGTATTTATTAGTAATAGTAATTATAATATTTTATTAAATAATCAATAACAATACTTTTAATAACATTTTTAATTATTTTGAATATAACAATAATTACTAAATTTATGAACAGTATTTATAATTTTAATTTAAAATAAAATTAAAGTAAATATCTAGCTATTAACAATATTTATAATAATAGCAATTATTAATTATAATCACTAATTATATATTTATAAAATTACTGTAACAATAAGTAATTATTAAATTACAGTAATTAATTATTGTATTAATCAGTAATTACTGTTACTTATAATAGTAATTAATAACAGTAATTAATAACTATTATAATAATAATAGTAATTTAAATAGCAGTGATTACAGTAATTTATAACAGTAATTAATAACAGTAGTTATTGTAATTAATAACAGTAGTTACCCCAAAATAGTAGATATGTCTTGAAATTATTAATAAACTACCAAGACCTAGCATAAAATTACCACTAATTATTGATAAATTATCTTAAATTACCAGAAATGACTTGAAATTATCAAACAACATAACCAAAATAAATTATACCATTATTTATCACAAATTACCAATAATTATAAAAAATCACCATAGTATAGTATAAATTTATAGAAATTAGCACAAATTATCATAAAATAGTAGAAAATATTCAAAAACACAAATAACATAAATAGCATAAAATTATGCCAGGTTGGGCCTAGGTTGGTAAGAGGAAAATTACTAGTAATTTTTAATAATTACTAATAATTTACTAATAAATAATAAAAATAGGATGACAATAATTACAAATAATTAACTAACCCAGTCCCAAGTTTACCAATCCAAGATTAAGTTCGAGTTTGCCAACCCAAGCTTAACCCAACATCTTGGGTTGGGCTTGGGCGTGTTGAGCTTTATAGCCTAATTTCTAAGCAGAATGTACGCGTGTGTGTGTGTATATACATATATATAGGAGCCTCAACCCAAGCATAACCTGAGTTTAAGTTAGGTTTGAATTTTTTGGCCTAAGCCCAACTTGAAATACAAAAACACAAACCCAACTTACGCAAAAGCTTTGGTTAATCTAGAGCTGGCTCAAGTTGGGCGGGCCCATCCAAGCTACACACCTACCTCATTTTGCCTCAAATTCTTTTGACAAAACCCATCTATCTTAATCTAATGGATAAAATTGCAGCCATATCGTTAGATATTACCCACTCGCTTTAATCGGTCCTAGTTATACAAGCTCTGTTTTGACAAGTGAACCCAACTATATAGGTTCGAACATTCCAACCCTCTACCAACATGATCTCACACCGCACATCTCGTACATAGAGGGTCTCAGTCCCATGGTGAGGTGTGCAGTATTAGATGATGTTGGTAGAGGGTTGGAAGGCATTTTGTTGGCAAAAGATCTCAACTCCTCGAACTAGTTAATTTGTTCCATGTTGGAGCTTTTGCACGACCCAACTTGAGTTCCATTGCCTACATTGTGGTTGCTCCGAATTAGCAACCATTGGTAGAGAAGTTGTTTTAGTATGTTATATATGTGCTTCTTATATCTTGCATCTGTTTAGCATCGTTGTTGTTGCTCCAGAAAATAGCACCACATCAGCGTTATGTAGGAAAAAATGGTGTTCCAGGAAACAGTCATCTGTTTGGTATCAAACAAAAAAAGTTGTTGCTCCAGGAAACGTCCTACCTGGAAGCAACGATTCCAAACAAAAAAAATGCACCATTTTTTGAGAAAGTGGTACTTCCAACCCACACATTAGTAGCACCATTTTCTTTGCATCTGCAGCATCGATGCCAAACATATACCATATATCTTCTCCAAAGTGGTAGTCTTGACATTATTCAGGATAAAATGAAATGCTTTCACTAAAGGAGAATAAGCTATTTTATATTTAAAGCTCCTTAGTCCTTGTGATTCAATGTTTGAGAGTAGAGAATTCATTGTTTGGAATGTAGAAATCCTCCTTACAATCCTATGGAGAACTCTAACTTTTTTATGCAAAGGATACTTATCTATGGTCCCATTTGGTAATTTTCTTTTCTGCTCATTATGATATTGTTGGAAAGAGTAGTTCAAGATAAGTGGTGAAAGCTAGGAAGATTATTAATATAATAGCCATAAGCAAGGCCTTTCACTGGCGAGATTTCTTTGATCAGTTTTCTCTAGAGGAGTTAAATTTTACATTGGAACCAGGATCGTTATTGAAATAAGTCTATTCCTCCTGTCTATTTGGTTCGGACCAGAATTGGAATTGACTGGAATTGATTTTCATTCTAAAAAGAGGAATATGTTCGGGCCTTATTTCTTCTAGAATTGTCAAGAAAAAGATGTCCCTCAAAACCATTGAACATGCTGGTTTTAAAAATTATTATATAAAACATTTTAGACTAAGAAATATAGGAAATTTTCCACTTTTCCAAATTAAAAATTATATTTAAAATATAAAATATTAATATATATCCATGGTTCGGTTGTTCAATTTTGGTTGGTTTACAAATGGTCAAAGTGAAATTGATCCAACTTGGTCAAATTAAGAAAAATTTGAACCAAAGCTAACCTAAAATACTAGAAAACCGAGCTTCATTAGTTTGATGAATAAACCTAACTGAAATTAATTATTGTTATTTTTGTAATATAAAAAAATTATTAAAAGTAGTATATAAAATATGAATAATTATTAATTATTTTAAAAGTTGAAAATATAAAACAATTGTATACTCTTATTTGATTCTATTAGGGTCATTTATTATAACAAATCTTATAGTTTTACATATTTACTTAAACCTACTTTATAGTTTTCATTTTATTAAAACATCCATATATTTTACAATTTATTTACTTAATCAACTTTTCATTAAGTAGTGTTTGTTTTGCCATTAGGCCATGATTTTTTTATTCCAAAAATACCATTAACACTTTTTTTTACAACAAACAAAATTAACCGAATATAGCCAATAAAGTGGTTGCCCGTGTCTTATAAAGGGCAAAAATGACATTTTTAATTTTATATTCTTTTAATTAAATTTATTTAAATGAACATTAGGGTCAACACTGTCATTTTTCAATGTCATCTAATGGAAGATTGATTAAATCTATTGCAAATTATAAGTGGTGTTTTAGTAAAATTTGAACTATATGGTAGATTTTAGTAAATCCATGAAACTATAAAAGGTTTTTTAATTTATTTACTTAATCAACCTTTTACTAAATAGTGTTTGTTTTGTCATTATACCCATGATTTTTATTCAAGAAATACTCTTAAATTTTTTTATACAAAAAATAAAATTGATAAAATATCACTAATAAAATGGTTGCCCATTTTTTATTAGGGGCAAAAATAATATTTTTATTTTTATTTTTTAATTAAATTTATTTAAATAAAGATTAGGATCGACATTGTGATTCACCATGAAAGATTAAATGCTTTCCAAATTATAAGCGGTGGCTGTGTGCCGAACGATGTGAACTCGCCCAACTTGGCAAATATACTACAACTTTAACCAAGCCTTCTCAAAACCCTAAAATCCTGCGGCGAGATATTTTTGTACCGTTTTAGTTTTCCACTGTTTCTTCTCCAATGGCGAAGAGAAAGCCCGTTGCGGTAGAAGAGCAAGTCTCATCCGAAGATGAAGAACAGATGAATGTAGAAGAAAATGAACCTTCACAGGAAGAAGATGAAGAAGAGGAAGAGGAGGAAGAAGGAGGAGGAGATGGTGATGAAAAAGTAGAAGGCGCCAATTCTTCATCTGAAGAAGAAGAAGAGGAGGAGGAGGAAAAAAAAGAAGATGACAGCGAAGAAGAAGAGGACGAAGAAGATGAGGGCTCAAAAAGAGAATCTGTGCGGACGCTTCTTGAGCCCTTCGGGAAAGACCAGCTAATCGAAATCCTCAAGGAAGCTGCTCTCAGGGACCGGTCCATTATCTCTCGTATCACCCAGGCCGCCGAGTCCGGCCCCGTCCACCGCAAAATCTTCGTCCACGGCCTCGGCTGGGACGCCACCACCGAAACCCTAGTTTCCGTTTTTAAGCAGTACGGTCAGATCGAGGAATGCAACGTTGTCACCGACAAACTCACCGGGAAGTCCAAGGGCTATGGGTTCGTCCTCTTCAAGACCCGTGCTGGTGCCCGCAAAGCCCTTCAGCAGCCACAGAAGAAGATTGGGAACCGTATGACGGCCTGCCAGCTTGCTTCGTTTGGGCCGATCCCGAGCCACCCGGCTCCTGATGCGACGGGACGGAAGATATTCATCGCAAATGTTGGACCTCATGTGAATCCGGAGAAGCTGCGTGCTTTCTTTTCGAAGTTTGGGGAGATTGAGGAAGGGCCATTGGGGTATGACCGTGTTACTGGGAAGCTTAAGGGTTTTGCCATATTTGTTTATAAGACAACGGAGGGATGTAAGAAAGCTTTGGAAGAACCAGTGAAGGTATTTGAGGGTTGCAAATTGCAGTGTCAGAGGGCAGTGGAAGGTCTACGGGCTAATAGTATTAAAAATCAGGTGGGAGTTGTTGCTGGGACAGGTGCTGCTTTGCCCCCAAACGATCTTGCTCTCACTTATGCAATGGGATTGAATCCAGGGATGGTCAATCCGAATCTACTGGTGGCTCAAAATCCAGGAATTGGGATTTTGAATCCGGCCGTGGGAACGTCCCTGACTCAGACGGGGTTGTCACCTTCCGTTGCTGGTGGATTATCACCTTCTGTGAACCGGAGTGGGGCGACTCCTCCGTTGGGATTAAGTTCAGCGTATGGTGGGCAAGCAGGGATAAATAGCATAAGCCCTAGTGTAATTGGTAGTTATGGCTCTCAGGCAGCTTTGCAGGGGCTGGGTGCTTACCAAAGTGCACATTTAGGCCAATCCTCTGCAGCGGCAACGAGGTCTCAATCTGGTCTTGGGTCTGTAGGTTCCTTGCCGCCTTACTTCGGACGCTAGGTACTACATCTCTCAGTCTCGGACATATTTCCCTCTACTGACATTTTGATTTGATTTTATTGTACTAATTTTTCTGCTAAATTAATTTGTTTTTTCCCTTTTCCTTCTTTTATTTACTCTCTCTTTCTCTGTCTAAATTGCTTCTGCTCCAAGTGTGTGTTTTTTAATTTAACGATTAATGCAGTTCCTCTTTACCATACTCCCCCCCCCCCACCCCATCAACCCTCTGTTTTAACACAGCCAGCTATAGTTTTGCCCAAAATAGAGAAGGTCTATCAACTCCCTGTTTTTCTAGCGTGTCTACCAATCCATTTGCTATCCTTTTAGTCCACCCAAATGTAGATAAGGCCCAACGAAAATTCATATGGGGAAAAGGTGGTAAACAACCAATTCATTTAGTGGTATGGAAGACAATTTGTAAGCTAAAAACCTGTGGTGGTTGGGGTATTAAGAAAGCCTCATGGATGAATGCTGCATGTCAAACCAAGCTAGAGTGGAAAATCTTAACAGAACACACAAATCTATGGGTTCAATTAATAAGAGCCAAATATCTAAAAAGAAAAGATTTTTGGGAAGTCAAGGTGAAAGGAAGCTCATGGGCTTGGAAAGGGATACTAAGCAACCGAGACATACCAAAACAAGGAATTTATTGGATAGTAGGTAATGGGAGAATGATTAATATATGGACGGATAATTGAATAGTGGGTCACCCAAGCCTGAATCAAGAGGATGGCAATGAAGAGTCAAACAATTATAGGATAGTAAGGGACCTCATGGATGAATCGGGGAAACACTGGGATGAGAAAAAGATCTGTGACCTCCTTGGACCAACACTGTGGAATAGAATCAAAAGTTCAAAACGATAATTATCCCCTCCAGAGAGAAGGAAGGCTACATGATATGGTATCTGAACCCAAGAGGGAAGTTCACAGTCAAATCAACTTACAACATGTTGACTGGAGACATTGAGAATAACAACCAAAATGGAGCGAGAATCTGGCATTTGAAATGCCCACCAAAACTGAAATACTTCATGTACCTCCTACTAAAAAATAGGATACCCTCTAAGAGCTTATTGAGAAAAAGAGGAATCAGTGTAGAAGAAGAATGCCAGTATTTGTGGGGAAGTAGAGGATAACCCCCACATATTTTTCGACTGTGATTATTCCAAACAGGTATGGAATCTTCTCCACTGGGAAGAAGCAAGGCTGGACCACACAAGAGAGAGTGTAAGATGTTGGTGGTAGAACATTAGAACATCGAAAGCCATGAAAATAGAATTCCAGGAATTCCTAGTGTTTCTACTATGGAGAATCTGGAAGAATAGGAACGAGAAGATCTTTCAAAATAACATTATACCTCCTGCTATTCTTTTTAGTAAGGCAGTGGATGATAAAGAGGAACTCAAGATCCTTACCACAATGGAGGAACAAACAAAGGAAAAGAAGAGTATATGGGTCAAATGGTTCAGCCTAAATGAAGCAATCATTAAAACAAATTTCGATGCCTCTAGGAAAAGTGACGGGCTAACTGCAATAGGGTGTGCAGCGCGAAATAACAAGGGAGAAATTCTCAATTTTTGAAGTAAGCAACTGGGCCAGAGCACAATTAACGTTGCAGAAGCATGGCAGCCTTAGAAGTGCACAGAATTGCAAAATCCTTTAGTAATCAAAACATTGTAATCGAAGGAGACTCAAAGTTAGTCATTGACTGCCTCAAAGGTAGGACGCTTATCCCATGGAATGTAAAAACAATAATTGAAGAGTGCTACAACATTTGTGAAGAATGGAGGCTGAATGGTCAATACAACCATGTGTATCGAAAAGCAAATCAAGCTGCTGATGGCTGCTGCAGGTTATCGTAAAGATCAAGCATTGCATATGAAGATGAACCTTCCTTTCTCTTTCTCTTCAATTTGTTTAGCTGATGCTAGTGGGGGGGTAACCTCCAGAATAGTTTAGGTGGGCTTTGTTGTCTAGTTAGTTCTTTGTGTTGGTTTCTTTGTTTCTTTGAGTGTACTTCGACTTTATTAAAACAAAGCTCTTAGCCAGTAAGTCAATCTCCCTGAATGCAAATCTATACTTCCATGGTGCTGACTTTACTTGCTTAGCCCAAGAGATGACCAATAGTGAGTCCCCTTCCACTTCCAACTCTCTAGCTTCTAATTGCACTGCTAATTTCAAGCCTTGTAGGAATGCCATTATCTCTGCATGAACCGAGTCTCCATACCCAATTGGTCCTGAGAACAACACTACAATTTCTTCATGATGATTTCTGAAAACTCTCCCTATTCTAGCCTTCCTTGGGTTCCCAAAGGAGCTACCATCGAAGTTCAGCTTCAATTTATTTGGCTTTAGAGGTTTCCAATCCATCTTGGTAATTTCTTTATGCATTTTCATTTGTGCCACTTTCTTCCATTTTCTTATTATGTCATTTGTTGAAATATTTTTGAAGATATCTACTGTTTTTACCCAGTGTGCAGATCCCTCCTTAGATCTACTCTTCTCAGTGATTTTTTTTTTTGATTTCTTTCTTCCCAAATGGTCCAAACTACAGCTGATCTTGTTATTAAATGTAAATTAAAATATGAATATATAATCTTGGTTTAAATGTAGAATGTAGATTAGTAGGTTTGATTCTATGTTGTTAAAATCTTATGATTTACTATACAATTCATGATTTGAATCATGAATCCCAAGGGTTTGGGCTCAAATCTTATGCTTGAATCCTTTTCTACAAAAGTCCTACAATTTTTGTTTAGATCCTATGATTTGATTCATAAATCTTATGCTTTATACAGTTTCTATGTTTTGATTCATAAAGAAAAAAACAAATGAAGCCTCCCTTGCTTGATAGCATCGTTAGTCATCTCCTTAAACACTTCTTGCTTGTTTCCTTCTTCATCCAATGCCTCTTCCTTCCCCTACCATCTTCTACAGTCTATCTTTCTACTCATTTCAAAAGCTTCAAAAACTCTTCTAGTAAACTCCCTTTCACCCTGGAAAAATAGACCTAAACTCTTGCCAACCCTACCATGATCTTCTACAGTATCTCTTCCTACTCATACTCATCTCTGTTTTTTACTGATTGACAATATCTCATCAAATCCGTGTTCCTACACCCACCTTCCCAAACCTTAATCTATCTATTACTGCAAGGAAAGGTAAGAGGAAATGCATTGCTCATTACATTTCCAAACACCTGTCCTATAGCCTTATTTCCCCATCCTATTACTCCTTTTTGTCCTCCATTCCTCACAACCCATCCCCAAATCTATATTAGAAGCTTTATCTAAATAGAGTGGAGAGGTGCAATGAGAATTGAGACATAAAAACAGTACATCCCATGGCTAAAATGATTTTGGTTAGGGTTCATTTGTCCTTGGTGACATTTTGATTGGCTCTTTAATAGCTTAATGTCAAGAATGCATTCCTAAATGGAGACCTGAATGAAGAAGTGTATATGTCTCTTCCCCTTGGTAAGGAAATGCAAGGCTGAGTATGCAAATTGATGAACTCCCTTTACAAAATCAAACAGTCCCTTAGAGCATGGGTTGAGAGATTCTGTGCTCTTGGGTTTTGGTTACACAGACTCAATCTGATCACACCCTCTTTGTTTTAAGAGGAGAAGTTCTTTGGCTATTCCTTGTTATGTATGTTGGTGATATTGTGGTTATTGGTAGTGCTCCACAAGAAGTTCATAGCCTAGATTAAGGGCTTTGGAGAGTTGAGATATTTTTTTGGGCATTGAAGTGGTTAGATCAAAAGAAGTTAACTTCATTTCCTGGAGCAAGTATGTCCTTGATCTTGTCATTGTAATTGGAAAACTTGTGCTCAAACCGAATTCTACTCCTATAGGCTTGAACCACAAAGTCTCAACTAGTGTTGGTGAATTAGTTGATGGCAAGGGAGTGTTCCAGACTTGGGAAGCTATTATACTTTTGTATGGCACAACCCGACATCTCCTATGCTGCAAGTGTAATCAGTTTATGCATGCTCCTAGAGGCACATATGGCTGCAAGCCTGCAACATAAATGGTGTTATGTTACTTAAAGGGAACACCTAGGAAGGGTGTTCTCTACATCATGTTACTATGCTATGGTGTTGGGAATATTGCTACTTGGAGAAGTAAGAAACAATCAATAATAGTTAGATCTTTAGTAGAGGTAGATTTCAGGGCTATGGCCCATAGCATTTTAAAGTTGTGGCTTAGATCTCTTCTTGAGGAGTTGGGTGTGACTTATAATAAGCCCTTGGTGTTAAATTGTGATCAAGGTTCAAAGTATCGATATGATACGCATTTAGGCCGTATCATATCGGTACTTAGAAACGGCCGATACACACTTTTTTTTAAGTTTGTATTTTTGGGAAGCTTATTAGATGTTTTTTATTATCAAAAAAAGTTGGGGGTTCGAAACACTTGGGAACAAGCATTTCACACCGTATCTTTTTCAAAAGATACGATACGATACACCCGGGCGTAGCGCGTATCGTATCGATACTTTGAACCATGATTGTGATAATCAAGCGGCCATCAACATTACTCATAATCAAGTTCAACATGATAGGATAAAGCACATTGAGGTGGATAGACATTCTATACGATAAAGAGTGGCTTTATCGTATAGAACCAACTCAGTTCTAGTCCTTAGAGAATGTTGAATGGTTTTCTTTGATCAGAATTTTATGGCTGTTTGGTGGCTGTAATGGCTTCTTGAAGAAATAAGAGAGATATAGGGAGAGAAAGAAGAGAGAAAATACCTGGAATCACTCACAGGGTGCCTAGAATCACTCTAGGGCATGAGAATTACTCACCTTAGTTAGCATTAGCTGAAGAAAACTCAATAAACTTCATTGTCTTTGTGTAAAACGTCCATACATATTTATACACTCTAAACTCATAATAATCCTACGAGTCAAACTGTTAGACTCATAGTCTTAGGGGTCAAACTGTTAGATTCAATAATCCTAGTAGGACTTAAATTAAGCTGTCACCCCATAGAAAAATGCAAAATGACAAAAATACCCCTACTGTCCAAAAATATAGAAATACATTCTCCCATGGTTAAAAAAATCGTCCTCGAGTTTTGAAGAACTTGAGGATGAAAAGTTGATATTTCCTCAATTGCAAAAGGAGTAGGACTTCCCACAACTACATGCTTGGACTATAGAGTAGAAGCCACACAGAACTAAAAAGGATTTTGAAAGAAATGTATTTTTGAAACACTGCTTTCCATAACCATCTTTGTTAAATAATCAATAACATTAGTTTCTTGAACATTTAATTCATCAACCAGCCATTGTGATGAATCTTCCCCTTGCTTATCCAAACGCTCAACTGCAACATTTGGAACTTTTCCTTCAACCTCTAGATTAGGAATCACCATCTCTATGTGTTCTTCTATCCTTGGTTCTTCAACAAACTCTTGGACTCCTTCCATTGTTGATGTTGTTAGAACTTGTGCTATTGCTGGTTGTAATTCTTGAATTAGTTCTAGTTGAACTTGTAAGGTAAAGTCACTTCCTTCCTTACTAGGATCTGCTACAATCAGCACATTTGTATCTTGCACCTGAATTTTTTTAACTTGCTCCACTTCTATTTCTTCTTGATCATTAACCTCAAGCTGATCATGGGTGTTGGAAACTTTAGCAGTTTCTGTTTGTTTTTGACCTGCATCCTCTTGATTTTTAATATCTACAACTTCTATAGCTTGATATTCTTCTTACTTCTCTTCATCCACAACTTTATCTCTAGGATAGGCATCAACATTCACGGAACCATCTACTTTCTTTTCAACTCTGTATCTTCTTCCCATTGACTTCAAGTTCTTTGTTGTAACTTGCTATTTCTTCTTTTGCTTGAAATTAGTTAACTCCATATATGTATCATGGAAATCTAGTGGGATGTACTTTTCTTGCAAACACCTCTTCATCTCAGCCCATGTACTAATTGGATCATTGCCTCTATTTTCTAGTCCTTGCTCAAGAGTTCTCCACAAACTTTTAGCATGACCTGTCATCTTCATGCACACAAATATAATCCTTTATTTGTCAAACATATCATGCCAATCAAAATATTCTTCTAGTTCAGCAACCCAATCAAAGAATGCTTGTGGATCATTCATCTCCTTTGAAATCTGGTATTTCCCTTTCTCTTCTAACATGTTTGGAAACATTACTCCTGTAGCTAACACTATTAAATCTGTTTTCTTCCCACCATCTTCTCAAATAAGTCAACCAAAGAATCGGTCACTTTGTTAGAACATAGTGAATAAAAATTAACTCTGATACCAAACTGAAGTAGGACCAGCGCAGTTCTAGTCCTTAGAGAATGTTGAATGGTGTTCTTTGATCAGAATTTTATGGCTCTTTGGTGGCTGTAATGGCATGTTGAAGGAATAAGAGAGATAATAGGGAGAGAGAAGAGAGAAAATACCTAGAATTATTCACAGGGTGTGTAGAATCACTCTAGGGCTTGGGAATCACCACCATAGTTAGCATTAGCTGATGAAAATTAAATAAACTTCATTGCCTTTGTGTAAAACGTTCATACATATTTATAGACTCTAAACTCATAATAATCCTATGAGTCAAACTGTTAGACTCATAATAGTCTTAGGAGTCAAATTGTTAGACTCAATATTTCTAGTAGGATTCAAACTAAGCTGTCATATCCTATTTCAATTCAAAGAAGACTCGATAACTCTAATCCCACTTATGCAATGACTCTGAAATTTTAAACATAAATAAACTATAACTAGACAAATTAAACCTTATCATTGGACCCCATAGAAAATTTCAAAGTGACAAAAATAACCCTACTGTCCAAAAATACAGAAATACACAAAGTTGCATAAAATTCCAATTTTGACTCTTCAGCTCCTGCATCAAAAGAACAATTAGCAGATATCATAACTAATGGTGTTCCAAAGGCAATCAACAACACTATGTAAGCAAGCTGGGTAGAATTGGCATCTATACTTAGCTTGAGAGGGAGTGTAGAGATATTAGGTTGAATGGGCCTTTGTTTTCTTTCTTTTTATCAGATCCATTTCTAGCTTAGTGGGCCTCACTGATATGGGCAAACTATTATTTATTCTTTATGTTTTGAGTTAGTTGCTCTATGAAGGGTATCTTTGTAATTATCCCTCTAATTGAGATTAGAACTAATAAAAGATAATTAGGGGACTGGAGAGGATTGATTAACTCCCTTCTCCATCTCCCTCTTCTACTTCCTTTCTTCTCTTGCTGTGGACTTATCTTCCCCCATTCTTTTCCTCATTTGTATCAGTTATTGTTTGATTTGTTTCTTCTCACAAACCTCTGCTGTTGAAGGTGGGAGAATTACAAGCAAAGGCTGTGCTATTTAGGTTAGACATGATGTATTTTGAGGTGAGGGGCTTTCTGAGAAGCTAGAAGAATGTTGGCAATCTTTCAGTTCACAAGGAGACCCGTTCCAAAAATTCTACCGGAAACTGAAGCATCTAAATATCATATTGAACTTTGGAGTAAGGAGGAATTTGGATCTTTGCAAAAACGATTAGAGACCTTGATGCAAAAGAGGAAGAATTAGCTTTTTCATTTGAGGAGAAACAACAGAAGGAAATAGTTAGAGACAAATATGGCCACTGGCTTACATGGAAGAGATCACTTGGGGACAATGGTCAAGAACTCTCTGGTTCCAAGCGAATGAGTGAAATGGCATAGTTGGATGAAGGAGTGCATACTTAACCTCTTCTTTTTGATACTTATAAATCGCTCTTCGAAGGGTCTCTTTGAAGCTTGGAGGGGTCTTTGCTAGCGAGATCCCGTCTCCCTTATTTATTATCATAGTCCATTATGTTGCTCCAGTTTGCAGATGATTCTCTTCTCTTAAGCCAAATCACAGAGATCTGCTGTTTTTACGGTCTCTCATCTGTTTTGAGGCTATTTTAAAATAGATTTATAGAAGTTTGAGTTGTTGCCGATTTGTGAGGTTCCAAATATTTCAGAATTGGCAGCCACTTTAGTTGTAGAACATGGTCTCTTCCAACCAAATCTCTCGAGTTGCCATTGAATGCAAACTACAGCTCCAAGGACATCTGGACCCCCATTTAGAACATATGAACAGGAAGCTTGGCTGGTTATGGAAGGGCCATCTCCTCTCCAAAGGCAGTAAGCTTATTTTGATTCATAATGCCTTATCAAACCTCCCAATTTACTATTTCTTCTCCTTTTGTCCTCCGGCGGAGGTTTTAGCTACATTTTGTAGCATGGGACCAACTACAAAGCATGTCTTCCCAAATCTAAAGGGGTGTATTGGTTTAAGCCTCTCCCCTATTACATGAATTTTGCATTGTTGGCCAAGTGGATATGGCGTTTTGGCTTGGAAAGGGGAGCTTTGTGGATGCAGTTATACAAAGTAAATATGGGAAGGAAGAACTGAATCGGATTACAAATCCCGTCTCTGAACCCCTATGGGACAAGTTGCTGGAAGGACAAAGTCTTGAGTCTTTTTCTCAGTGGTGTTCTTTTAAAGTTGGCATTGGTGATAAGATCCATTTATGGAAAGATGTTTGGTGTGGTCCCTCACCCTTGGCTTCTGTTTCCCCACACATTTATCAGCTGGTCAGTGATTAAGATGCCACAGTTTTTGAGATGCTACGAGTTTTTGGGTGGTCAGGTGGTTTGGAGTCCAAGCCTTGGAAGAAATGTTCGGGATTGGGAGCTTGAGGAGTTGAGCTTATTCTTTCAGCAACTCACTTCTATTTCTCCAAATCCAAATGAGAGTGACAGAAGATCATGACTTGGAAATACTGCTGGGGTCTTCACGGTAAAATCTTTCTCACTTTCATCTCATCAAATTCCTGAAATTTCCTGGAAGTGGATTTTGGGAAACGGGTGTCCCTTCCAATGTTTGTTTGGCCTGCTATCTTGAATAAGATACAAACTATTGCTTATCTGATAGCCAGAGGACTTGGTCAATCGTTTCTGCCTTTGCAAGGCTAGTTGAGAACCTGTTAACCATCTCCTACTTCATTGCCCCCTTCTCCCTTGCCGTGTGGTTTTTCTGCAGCGTATGAGCAAGGAATAGGTCATTCCTAATGATATCCAATCCTTGTTTTCTGCTTGGCCTGTACCTGTTGGAAACTTGGGGGGTGGGGGGCAGTCAGATTTTCAGGGGGAAGGCCTCATGTGGAAGCAGTGATTGATAGAGTGGAAGGACTGATGCAAGTGATGTCCATCAAATAGTTCCAAGGCCTCTCTTATTCTCTTGTTTGTGATCATTGGAGACAAATAGTTGGGCTTCCTCTGTTTTGAGAACTTCTTGTATATGATCTATATTGATCATATTGATCATCTTTACTGTATAGCATATATTGCTTGACCATCTCGTACTTCATTATCTTTTAGCTTTCAAGAAGATAATTATATCTTTTTGACCATCTCCTACTGTATAGCATATATTGCTTGACCATCTCCTACCTGTTGATCATCTTTCTCTCTTGAGGGGTTTTTTGCACCTAGCAGGAGCTTCTCCCATTATCAATACAATTATATCTTTTACCTTTCAAAAATCTATTACTTTTATCGAAGATCTCATTAGCTGAAGTTCCTGATTCAATTTGTTTTTAGATTTGAAATCTTTGTGGTAATATAACTGGGGGTAGTCATGGTTGTCTTTGAAGTCTTTCAATGTGACAAGTTTTCAAGGTTTGTTTCAATTACATTCTAATTATATTCATTCCTTCAGCATATATATATGTGTTCAATTTCTGGGTCTTGGTCATATGTTCACATATCTTGGTAAATTTGCATTGACAGCTTGTTTATTTTTGTCTTCTCTTTTCTTGACATGTGCATTGTGAATTCCCATTCATGGCATACCATTTTTTTTTGCCATGTTACAAGCACCTAAACCCAAACCATTCTCCCCCCAAATTTGTGCTGAAGTGTAACAGGGTGAAAATTAGCTTACAAGTCTTCTGCTCATTATGTTTGGTGGAGTTGATGATGCCTGGGAAATAATGCATAAACAGAGGCTCTTTTTTATTTATTTTGATGGATAAAATAGCATAAACAGATGCTTGAAATCTCAACAGTGCCAATTTTTGGTGGCGGACCTGTTAATCTGTTATTAGATGGGGCCTATTCAATGGTAGGTTCAGATCTCAAGGTTCAAAATACCGACATGTATGACACCAAAAAATTGGGTACCGTGCGTATCGATTGGATAATATACTTTTTTTTTCAAGTTTTTCAGCCTGATAATTGAAAGATAGGCTGATGAGGACTTTCATCATCTGAAGTATTCAAAACCCCAAACTCTCCGTATTTTGTGTGCCGGTGGCCTTTGAAGCTGATATCATACACCGCATATTATATCGATACTTGCGTGATCTGTATATCCAACACATTGTGTCAGGCTGCAATAATGAATCATGTATACTAGACCCAATGGAATCTCTATAAATAAATAAACAAAAAAAAAATTTAAGATTTTGGCCATTTCATTCTCTTGATGTTTTTCAATTCGAGCATCTTACCTCTATTCTGACTTGAGTAAACCTTTCATGGTTCAATCTAATTTCCCTCGTCTTTGTTTTGTTGGATAACAGGTTACAGTGGAAATAAGTTACATACCGAAGAGGAGCACAAATGTACTTAAAATTCATGCAAGGTGCTTTTTTGGAAAATCTGTTGTGATGATTGAACGTGTTAAAACGAGTGTTTTTGGGTAAATTACATATTGGTACCTTGTAGTTTGGGGGTATTGATAGGTACCTTGAACTTTCAATTTACACTTGAGTACCTTGAACTCTCAGACTTATCAAAAATAGACATTTGGGTCTATTTTTGTTAATTCACACTATGGTATATGGTAAAGTTACCAAAATGCTCATTTTTAAATTATCAAAATTGAAAAACTGAAAACAACCAAAACAGCGTTGATAAGAAGTTGGATAGTCTTGGACCTGAGTATCACTGTTGCTCACTCTAATCCCTGTAAAGAAGTAGAAACGAGTCCAACGAAAAGCTCTTTACCGGTGAGGGTAGAAATCTAGAGAATTGTCGGAAAAGAACATGCAGTTGTTTATAATAATGATCAAAGTATTGATATCGGGTATTGTATTGGGCAAGCCGGATATGGATATGAATATGCTTTGGAAATGAATATATCTATCGAAGGGCTAGGGCTGGCCAGCTCCTAAGAGACATAGAATCTGCAATTGGATTGAATTGTTCTGCTGGAATTCCATCGGAATCAACACCTACTGCCGCTGCTCTATCGAGTGATGGATATGGTCYCCAATGTTCATTTGACACTCTATTCCAGTTGGACGATCTGTTAATCCAGAAGAAACTAACTGTTTCTATTTTCGAGAGCGCCTTGAAGCTTCAAAAGATTTAAGCAAGAAAATGACTGTGCTGATGTGCCGTGCGTCAACGCTCAAGGTTGCTTCGGCAGCGGGCGCCGCAAGCACTGCAAAGCCGAAGCAGCAAGAAAGTTGGATGCAACAAGCAACGGATTGAGCGTTGATGTGCAAAAGCTGTTGCACGGTAGCGCAGCCGAGCAACGGCTTTCGAGTTAACATATTGAGCAATGCTTTAAAAATCATCTAATCCAAATGAATGGTACATTTCAATTTAAAATAATAAAAATAAAAATCCAAAAATCGTTGTGCAGGTTGAATGGATTGACCGTTCAATAGATTTGGTGAGCATGTAGTTAATCAAGCCAATATTTTTTTGGTAAAGGAGCAATTCAGGGGTGAAACGAGACCGGTTTCTTGGACGGTTTTGGGGCTGAACGGTCTGTCTTTCTGGGACAATAATGATTAAAAAACCAAGATCAGGAGTACAGAGGGCCATATCCAAGAGTTCTCAAATTAGATCCAGTACGATCTTTTTAAGTTCTCCCACCATTTTTATTAGAACTAGAGAATATAGAAGACCCTGCACCCGGATCATTGGTAAGAGACCACACAATTAGATGAGGGAGCCACAGCCAGCCAATCTATTCGTCCATTAGAGCTAACAATATCAAAATCATACTGAGAAAAATTGACAAACGATTTTAGTAGATTTACGTTCATTAAGCTTTGTTACTTGGAGATGCTCTTTTCTTTGAATCTGGATCATCTGCCTAGAAAATACGTTCCAATACCCTACCAACATACATGATCCGACACCACACAACTCATACATGATATATGCCCCACTTTTATGGTGGGTCCCAGTCTTATATAAAATGTGAGGTGTCTTATTAGGTTGGTAGGGTGTTGGAACGTGTTTTGTTGGCAGGAGATCTAACATTCTAAATTTCTAACTCTTGAAATTAGAATAACCAGATAGATGTGTAGTAATCTGGATATCATCATGCGCAGATAGGCCCATATGTTCGTCCACATCAAGTGTAAGCTTTTCTCCTCTTTGAAACTAGTATTTGTTCATAGAAGTCCATGGGCTGGGAATCCTCAGGTATGGGCCCATTGGCTACCGATGTTGGGATGAGTTAGGATCTGCTGATCACTTATTGCTGGCCCATTGAACCATTGGCTCCGTTGAAATGCCATTATGGCCACCACTGATAACTAGTGATAAAGATGACGATGTCTTTCCTTTCCGGACAGAGTCCTTGTTTATATTAGGCGTCAGAGCTTTCTACTTCTCTTCATCATTTTGTGATTCTCGGATTGATTGTTCTAGTTCTTTGATCGAACACATCTCGTAAACATGGACCAATCCCCCACATAAATAATAAAAAGGGAAAACTTCCACCATGCGCCTACAACAATTCAAAACTTCCAACATCCCACCTAAGCATCACTAGCCCCCTTTTGTATCGGCATCAATTCCTCCAAGTTTCCCCTATCGAAAACGAGTCTAGATCTCCTGCCCACGTCTATTCACAACACACTATTCCCCGTGAATTGGAAACATCTCTCCCTGTATAATATTATGCAGAGGATGAGATGTTCTCCATGTATGACTGTGATAAACGTGGACAAGAAATCCGGACTCATCGAAAACATGCTAAGTATTCATAGTCATATTGAAAATTGATCATAATCACCTAGTTGTTCAACGGTGTACTTTACGTCCTTCACTAAAAATCGAATCTCTGTACAGAAATTAATCTCGAGTCAGCTGATAAATTCGCTCCATCCTTCAACTTCCTTGTTGGTCGCTTCACATGGCTCACTGATCAGAGACCAAGGATGTGGATCCAAAGGTCAATCCTATCAAGCTTGTAAGAATAATGAGGCTGTTTATTTTAGTTTAGCCCTCTTCACAATGACATAATCATCATTGAAGATCAGCGGGCGTCTTATGTACACATCATCTCGTTTTGTTTTACTAGGAAATTTAACATGGTAGAAATCATCATAAAAATCAATTAGAGACTACATTCTTATCCAGTTCAGGTCTCTTACCCACACCTACCCATGCCTCATTATAGCTGTACATTAAGAATATCTCCTGTATTCGAATGTTACCATTTATGGAGACATCCATGTTCCTAATGTACAATTGTAGTGTCATATGGGTAGCATTCTCGTAGGCAGGAGATCTGAATTCATTCTCATCTCTTAGACCCCGGCTTTTCAACAAGGCTTCTCTCACCACTTTCAGGCAATAAGGCTCATCAGAGAGAATCCAAAAGATGAGAATCCTGTCACAATCTTGAATATCGGCTGTATCTCTTTCCTTAGTTGCAGAGCATATTGGTTGGGAACTTAGGACCTGTTTGGTTCATAGGAATAAGAGTATGGAATTGGAATTAGAATGGATCATTCTTTCCAATTCCAACTGTTTGGTTTGGTGGAATCGAAATTTTATTCCCATTCTCATTCTTGATGAAATGACATTCCTCCATTTAAGAGAATAGCCATTTCCTCTCCCTCCCCCCCAACTGATTCCATTTCCCATTTTGATTCATGTCTTAACTAAATAGATTATGGGGAATAAATCATTCGACTTGATTCTGATGGATTTTGATTTCGATTCCAATTTCAATTTTGACTGTTAACCAAATGGACCCGATGTTCTTCAATCCAATTTATGAGAACAATACCAGAAGTGTTATCTAACCATTCTGAACCAAATGGATAACTGTGGTAATTGATTGTAGAAGATAGTAAAGATTGAGGGGGGAGGTGGAACTCACACATACGGCGAGAGGGAGACTCCCATATGGTGAGAGGGAGATCTTAACTTCTAATCCTATTTTATATAATCATTTCATTGACAAACCAACGCGATAAGATCTTTTAAGGAGAAGGCTTTGAGCTTGCACATTTTACCCTTTGATTATTGCTATTTTTCTTTTGATTCTGGCACCAATGGTCAATAGATGGGTCTTAATTAAAAGATGTAGGTATGCATATATGTATATTACTATGCTTATTTAGCAAGAGAATTTATGTTTGCATAAGCTTTTGCTCTCGAGCTTTGCTACTTTGGGCAGTGAAAAACAAAATCGAGTCAAAAAGTATTTTGATAATATAGTAAGAGTTGCTTCAAAAAACGTTTATATATCTATATAATGCATGGTTTTTAAAAACGAATCAGTGATTGAACAGGTCAGGGGTCCGGTTACTGATTCGAACGGCTGGCCTGTTTTGATAAAAAAATAAAAAAAATTAAAAAATTGCAAAACAGTCAAACCGTTCGAACGGTTAATCAACCGATTCAGCAGCTTGCTGACCAAAATCAATGGTTTTGGGGGAAAAAGCAGTTTTGAAGGAAAATGGGACCGGTCAAATGACTGGTTCCTGGCTTTTCCTGTCCGTCCGTCCAATCCGGTCCGATTTTGGAAACAGTGATATAATGAAGCAATGTCATTGATGTCAGAAGCTCTCTTCATCCTCTCTACCTCCTTCAAAATCCTTTTCCATTTTTTTTTATATTTTATTTTCATTTTTCTCAAAGAATATACAACTTTCGTTAGGAGACGTTTTATCTTCCAAATACCTCCATGTCAAATGACATTAGAGAGAGAGAATAAGGGGGTCTATCCAATTGACATTAAGGTTCAAAGTAACAACACGTATTGACCTGTATCGGTCGATATGTACCGTATCGGAAGTACTCCGATATGCCCCTACAGAGGGTGTATCGAGGTTTTGACCAATTCAGAGAGTAAAAGAGCCTTAAACTGGCCCCCCTGAACTGATTTTGAAAAAAATAAAAAAAAGACCGGTACTGTCCAATATGCCCCATATCCATATTTAGAACCTTGATTGAGATCAGAGAATAAGGGAGAGGGGCTAGATTTAGGAAGAAGAAATCCGCCATTAACAAACGTCAATCCAAAATTGAAAGTTCTTCTCCCATAGCTGCAAACGCCATTCATGAACAGCAAACCATCACTGACATGGACTACGGTCCACCTAAGGCTGTAAATGGATTGGATTTAGATCAAATTCAAGATTATTTTAATCAGATGTAGGTTTGTCACTGATCTGGGTTTGGCTCAACTTGAACCTTGACCTGAACTGAGGAGCCCCTAACTGAAAACGACCCAACATGATAAAAATAGAAGTTAATGGGTGCTCAGATCAAATATGCTTATATATGAAGATGACCATTTCCTAACATTACTCTGTCCATTTTTAAATACCATGCCTTTTATAATTAAATAGATTCACCACTGTGATTACTTGCAAAGAGATTATAACTAAAGGCATGACAAACAAGCAAAATTGAATTAAACTTTTTAAAATAATGAAAAATGTAAATAAAATGTTTTTCATTGATCATGGAAGGATTTTGCCCAGTTGGGTGCAGCTCAAGTCAACCAATCTGCAGAGAATAAACATGATAAAAATAACTACAAACCAGAGATACTCACGGTTCAATGTGTGTGTCCATGCTGTGGTCTAAACTCAACTCCTTCAATGGTAATCCCTGTTTTGCGATTATAGTTACTTGTTTCCTTCACATTTATCACCACCTCCCCATCATCTCCCTCGGTAGTAAATTCCCCCAACTCGATCTCCAACCACTGACTACCATCTCTTCTGCACGGATACTTGATATCAGGTTCAGACGGCGGATTAGGCAACATCTTTATACGGTGCAGAAAATGGAGGCGCTTTATTTGAAGAGCCACTCTGGGATCGACACCTTCCTTCACATTACAAGCTATATTCTGACGAGACTGAGATAATATCTTTCCTCTGTAAGAAACTTTGATCTCCCACGGTTCTCTATCTAGCCCATACGCTCCTCTATCAAAATTCACGACGAGACAAGCAACATAATTTGTTTCCGGGGATAACATGCGAGAAGGAATCGCTGCAGTGATATCCATCCACCATACCTCTTTTAGGTGAACCACCTCTTTGAACCTGTACGATACATCAAAATTGTTATTTTGGGGATTCTACATTTTTACTCAAAATAACCTATTTGACTTAGGCACATTCGTTTCGGTAAGTTATCTGAGTACCATATTCTTTTATTTTTCATGTAAATAAGGCAATGGCCATAAAAATCCATTTATTGAAAAAGGCATTTTTGTCCCATTCAAGTGCCGGCAACTTTTCCCCTAGTGGGAAAATTAATTACCTACCTAGGAGATGGATATCAATTATCCGAATAAATAGTATCCAAGAAAATAAACTTTTCAGATCCCCACATAAATCTGAAAAAAGAACATGAGATTTTTGATCAATAGAAACCAAAAACTCATTGACTAACTTTCCCCCCTCTCAAAATCCGAAAAAAAAACACTCCCTTAAGTAGAAATGCACAACCACATTTCAAAGTACTCTCTTATCTGGGGATTACTTGATACCATAAAATGCTTGCTGCACCAAGTATAGACAAACACTGATTTTCATCTATGAAATCTTTGTTATTAGCTGAAAAGCTTACTTCTTCAATGCTAATTCATGTTCTTTTTGGCACGGCCCCAGCCCGGCCTGACGAACCTTGAGCTATACGGGCTCAGGGCTGTGCTGGAAATAACAGGTTGGGCTTCTGGGCTGTGCTGGAAATAATCCACTTTGCAATCCATACCATTGGATTGCAGTCTCTAGGCAGCTATGGCCATCACCAAATTCTTTGTTGTCCTATTGTACTTATGGCTTGCGTGCAATGCTATTGTATTCCAAAATCAATTGTGGGATCCTAAATTGATACCCCGAAGGGCTAATCTTTTTATTACAAATTATTGGAATGATCAGTCCATAAGCGCTACTGTATTGAGCACTACTATACCTGTGCTTCAATGCTTTCAAAATTGGACCGGATTAGATGGTCAGATCAAAAAATCAACAACTGGTTACATCTGTTTAACCCCAAAATTGTTTTTTAGCTAAAAAACCATTGATTTGATTAGTAAACTACTGACTTAGGTGGTCGAATCATCAAACTGTTTAACCCAAAAACAGTTTTTGGCCATTTTTTTGTTTTTAAAATTTTAATTTATTTTTTATTTGAGCAAATTATCCATTCAGACTGGATGGTCGGACCATTCGAATGGGAACCGGACCCAGAATAGTTCCATATTCAATCCGATTTTAAAAACCTTGCTGTACGCTCACAAATTCACTAAAAGGTGAAACCGTGGATAATGTTCACAAAAGATAAAACTTGAAAAACAAGCAACTGCAACAATGATTACAAATGACAGAGTGACAATAGTGGGAGCTTGCGAGCATGGGGTAAAGCGAATCTATTCCACGAATAACAACTCGACACGCGTCAAACATCCATGCCCGTAACGAACTAACGAAACTTTAATTCTTGATAAATGTGTGTGAAATTGACGCTTTTAGGATGGTCTCTTAAGTGAGATGGAGAGACAAGACAAAAAAAGACATCAACCAAACGCCTGCATTTCGTCCAAATCCATTAGCATTTGACATTATATGGGAGTTTTGGGAGTTTTTTTTTTTTTTCTTTTTTTAAGGCTGCCTTTCTTTTCTTTGCGATACAAACGCTGAATCGAGGTATTTTTACGTTTGTGAGTGTTTGTTTGGAAGAGTGCATTACTGCATCGATTTTTTAGATGCAAACTTACTCTCTTTGACTAACGATGTAAATAGAGTATATATTTGTGGTGTTGTTCGACCGAACAAAAATAGTCGTTCGAGTGACATCTAACTGTCGGAGGTCTTTTTAGGTGGAGCTCTGATCAAATGCCATCAGCAACAACAATGAAAACGGTAGGCACCGATTAAATATAAGCCAGATCAAGTCATTGAATAAAGAAATGTAGTGTTTTGCAGGTCCTAGGTTGGAATAACACTAGAGTCCCAAGCTCCCAGCTTCCATTTATTTAACATTCAAAGAGAGAGAGAGAGAGAGAGAGAGAGCACCGAATTGATTGATCAGAGAGGAAGGAAGAAGAATAAGAAGAAGAAAGAAGAAAGAGAGAAGAAGAGGAGTTTCGAAAAGGAGCACACGATCCTCTTATGATGTGATCTTGGTTAGAATGGACGGTCCAAATTTGATCGAAGCTGGTCTGATGGTTATTTGACCAAAAGTTCAACACAATGGAGAATAGGTAGTTAGAGCATTTATGTTTGCTTTCATAGATTGCATCGATGTCAACCAAACGCTAGCAAATTTGTATGCACATTTACCTCAATTCCAAACAAATGAGAAGAGTACAAAAAACAGACTAAGCTATGAACCAACATTGCATTCATGAACCAAGATGAAGGCAAATATGCAAGGTACATATTTGCGTTTGCATTGGAAACAAACGCAGCCTAAGTCTCAGTTTGAAAAAAATACAAATACAAATACGTAGAGCACTGTTTTCAAAATCGGACCGGATGGTCAGACTAGAAAACCGGTCACCGATCACATGATCGTTTTGTTTTTCCCCAAAACCGTTGATTTTGGTAAGAAAACCGTTAAACCGACCGATTAACTATTCGAACAGTTTTGACCGTTTTTCAAAATTTTATTTATTTTTTATTTTTTTATCAAAACAGGCCGAATGATCGGACTGTTCAAACCAGTAACCGAACCCTTGACCTGTTCAATCACCGGTTGGGTTTTAAAAACCTTGACGTAGAGTGTAAAACCTTACATGTTGTATTATTTTGTATGTATTTGCATTTTACATATTTGTATTTGTACTCATTCCAAACTGAGCCCAAAATCCAATTCTGTCCATTATTGTCCATTGCTCAGTTCTCAATGTGTTAATGTGCCGCATACTCAAAAAACGTGATAGAGGTTTGCACTCCACGTACCACCCAACCACTAACAACCACTAGCATCTACAATCCACAAACTACCTCTCACCAACAACACCAACCACAAGGTATTGCCACTTTGCTCATCTGGGTTGAGCCTTGGCTATTGGCCAGACATGGTTGCATTCGGCTTGTTGGTAGAATGGCTACAGAACACTATTTTGGAGGTTGCTTGCACCAATTTCTTAGCGTGTTTTGAACTGTGGGCATTTACTGAATAAACACTGCCACATAGGTGCCACTTCAACATTTCCCCCATTATGCGGATCCATACACATAGAGACTTGTAAAAGTAGGCATTGATTTATGTGCATGCCTACCGTTGGGGCGGGTAGGCATTTATTCATTGTTTTACTGATGTGGTGCATAATGGTGCATAGTGGCACCTAAGTGTCAATAAACAGGTTCATTAGTGCTTTTCTCGGTTTTGTAAACAAATCAAGTGCAAACGTTTAGTGAATAAACGCCCACCGTTCCAAACACATACTTAATCTAAGTGCTTCATTTTGTGGCAATGTAGAGGTTTTCTATGTCAGTGGTTGAATCATTACCCAAAATAAATAAATAAATTTGTAGTTGAATCATGAATGAGTTGAACGTAATAGGATTGAGAATTCGAATGATTCATTGAAGGGGGAATTAGCTATGACTGCATGGGTGATCGTGGGTTTGTTAGATGACGTTTTTGGAGGTTGGGGTGCATCCTGTTCCTATTGTTGATTGATGTAGAAGTAGTTGTAGTGTATAAAGTGTATAAAATTCTTCAAAGTCTGCAGAAGTTTATGGACAAACACATTAAGGCTATTGCACTTTGTCTTGTTTGCTCTACTTCTTCTTGGCCTATATCCTACTTAGGGCTTTCCTTAGGAGCAAATCCTAGGGAGAATAGGTTCTGGACTCCAATCATAGAAACTTACCTACTTACTACTTCTTTGTCTTTAGGATACTGCCTAGGGAAGTGAAGAAGCTAGAGAAGTTGATGAGAGACTTTCTTTGGGAACTGGGAAAATGAAAAAAAAACATCATTTGGTTAGATAGGAGATTGTTGGTAGAAGAAAAGAGGAAGGAGGTTTAGGATTAAGGAATGTGATAAAAAAGAATGTGGCTATGCTAGGGAAGTGGTTGTGGGAGTCGCCTTGGAGTGAAAAAGACTTTGGCATGAAGTAGTGAAAAGTATTCATAGTTGCTCAAAAAATGGAAATGATACTAGTGCATCAAGGAGAGCTAACTCGGCAACACCTTGGAAGGTAATCAACAGAATCCTACCATAATTCCTCAATTGTGTCAGGTATGATATTTGTTTTAGTACTTCTGTTCGTTTTTGGTAAGACATTTGAGCTGGCTTTAAGATTTTTTTTCTCTCATTGTTTCCTATTTCATTGTATAAAAGTGAGGTGATCTCAAAATTCCTTCCTTCTCCTTTAAACCTGTTGGCTTTGTCTTGGGACTTCGGTTTTCATAGAGGGTAAAGGGGTGGAAATTTTAATTGTATGTCTAACTTGCTTTGCCTCCTTGATAAAGTGTGATTGGATCCCTCGTTGTCATATTAAAGAATCTGGACCCCTTACCCCAAAGGGTTCTTTTCTTATGGTTCCTTTTCAAAGTCACTTTGCAACACCTCCTCTCAACAGGCCTTCCCTGCTAAAGAAGTCTAGTTTAGGCCGGTTCCCCCCTAAGGTAATGGTTTTTTGTTTGGATGTGTGCCATGGGAAAGTTAATACCTTGGATAACTTATAAAAGAGAAGACCCTTTCTCTATATCTCTCCAAACTAGTGCACTCTTTGCAAATCTCATAGTGAGGACTGTTATCATTTATTTCTTTCTTGTGATGTCACTGTAGAGCTTTGGGTTTGGCTTTTCTCCTTATTTTGGTGCATGTGAGAGACACCATCAGAAATAAACTTGCTGTTCAACCCGTCTACCTTATCTTGGCCCCAGAAAAGAGGAAGAAGTATGTGGAGGTGTGCAAGAGCAGTTTTGATTTGGACAGCTTGGAAAGTAAGGAATAATAGAATATTCCACGAGAAGGAAAGGAGCATCCGGGCCTTGAAGGGTTGCATCATGAATAAAGCAATACACTGATTAAAGTCTATGGAAGTGTTCCATCCTTTCTCCTTTAATGATTCATTTGCTTCACCAATTAAAACAATCAGCCAATACACCATAGGACCTCCTCTTGAATGTGTTTAGTACTTCAGCCATTTCATCTAAGGTTCAAAGTATCAATATGATATGCCCCGTATCAAACGTATCATATCATATCTTTTGGTCCCCGATACACCTATTTATACATGTTTAAAATCGAAACTTGAAAAAAAAACTAAAAAAAATAAAATAACATGGTTTAAAGTACCAATACACCTGTGTCAAAATACAAAGATGTATGAATACTTTGAACCATGAATTGGATCCTTGATCATGAGTATGGAAAATAGTTATAGTGCCTGATTGCTAACCTAACATAACCCTCCTTAACCCAGGCTTGGGATGGGTGGTGCAACACAAGTGCACGCTGACAGAGTTAAAGAGAACACTGGTAATTATGTTTAATTATAGTTCTTTTGTTTGGCCCATCAACATAGGTTTGTCAATAGCTTTGGTTTGGCCCAAGACATTAAGGGCCCGTTTGGTTTACAATCGGAATCGAAATCCTTCAGAACCAGATTGGAATGTTCTATTCCCATGGTCTACTTGGTTCTGACAGGAATGGGAATGGGAATGAAAATCAGCAGGAATGAAATTTTATTCCCAAGGGAGAGGGAGGGCAGGGAAGGGCCAGTCCTTCAAATGGGGGAGTGTTATTTCAGAAGGAATGGGAATGGGAATGGGACTCCAATCCCGTCCAGCCAATCAAATGGAATTGGAATAGCCCATTCTGATTCCGATTCCAGATCCCTATTCCCGCGATCAAACAGGTCTAATTGAAAATGACCCAACATGACGAAATAGAATACGATTATCAAACCTGAGTCAATCTTATGGGGCCACGATTCTAACCTAATCTGACCTGTGAATAGCCCTTTCGTTAGTGAGGGCTATTCACAAAGTGACAAAACTAATTCTCTAGTCCGTGAAACGAAACTTAGTTGAATTGAATCTACATGGTTGGATAGAATTCAGATTTACTTGTTGTAAGATTCAATTGGACTCTTGCTCAATCACAGATTAGGGGTTCAGACAATGGAATCAGATTTGAATCCAAGTCAGTTTAATCACAGCCCAACCTGTTTACAGTCCTATTCTTTGATAAACATTGCATGGAAACACAATGCACCCTTTTGTTCAGTCCAAATCTCTTACACTTAAGCTTACACTTTTATGATAAGTTGTAATTAACTAATTGGAATTCATCAAAATTCATGGGGTAGTTTTGATTGCTCAAATTCTCAAATATGAAAGAAAGGTATGATACTAGAATTTGACCAATGGATCCACCACTGTGAATTTTGATGAATTCCCATTGGTCAGTGTACGACTAGCAAAGTGTAAGTACAACAGATCTGGACCGTTTTACCTTGGAAAGGAAGATGGATGGATAAAAAAACATTTCTCATTTTTCAGAGGATTGGAAAGAAAAACTAACCTTGATTCTGTTGATGGTATCCAATCCCAATACCTGTTGTCATTTTCCCATATAATCTCAAGCTCTCTTGCACTCAGCAGGCAGCATTTCTTACCGGTTGATTTTTCCAGTGAAAAGAACTGCCATTAGAAAAGAAAAATGTATTTAATTGGCTTTCTTTTATGAACTTGTTCCCATAGAAGCAAATATTTATTCATTTTTCTCTTTTTAAGACTTACGTATTCTATCCTCTGTGATTTATTGCAAGTTAAAGGGGTTAAAAGGGCTACGAGTAAGCAAGAAATGATTTAAGCATCAATAGTTTAACAATTAATATGACAATGAACAGAACGGAATGTCGAAAGAGAATTCATATAGCCAACCCCATACGATTGGGACAAGGCTTGGATGATGATAATGACCTATGTATTGGGATGCTATAGATGTTGCTATACATGCAATCAACAATGAACAGTTGTGCCAAACTCATATCTTGGATGTTGCCTGTAACCTTCAAAATGGACAGGATTTGGTTAAATTCAATCTGAAAGCAACAACAGCCCAATCTGTAACATCCAAATCCAATCCAATCCATTAATCATGTATTAGCTGACCATAAACTTCTTAGGCTCAGTTTGGAAGGAATAAAATACAAATTTGTAGAGAGTAAAACCTTTTATTTTGTATTATTTTGCATGTATATATAAATTTGTATTTGTAGTCTTTCCAAACTGAGACATAGGTAATGGACCAACATTAAAAGCAATCAAAGTATGTCTATCTTTTGATCATAATTCATAAAAAAAAAAACTTGAGTAGAATTAGGGTTTTCCTATTCAGGTGTGTAAGTATGCACTATGTCTGCTAAAACCCCTTAATTATATTCCTTAAAGGGAATACCCTTTGATTTTGATTTTATGTCAAAGAGCTACTTTGTAAGGGTTAAACCTAATAACAGGTATAAGCAGTCCCATCAACTTGGACTCTTAGTGGGTTATAGCAATGAATGGGCCCCCACAATTGGTAGATAAATCATGGGACTCATATACCATTGGGTATTTATGTATTTAAACTTATACATCTTAACAGTGAGTCCCGTTAATCAGTAAAAAGTGGGACCCACTATATTGATTTAGTGATGGGCATGACCCACTTTAATATTTTAAATTTAAATATTTTGGCAATGGGCCCCATTGACAGGTGAGACCCACTAGTTTGATTTGATGATGGACATGACCCATTTGAACTTAAATATTTTGATAGTGGGCCCTACTGACAGATGAGACCCACTAGTTTGATTTGATAGTGGGCATGACCCACTTTAAGATTTTAAGCTTAAATATTTTGACAGTGGGCCCCGCTAACAAGTGAGACCCACTAGTTTGACTTGATAGTAGGCATGACTCACTTTAAGGTTCTAAAATTAAATATTTTGGCAATGGGCCCCGCTGACAAATGGGACCCACTTGTTTGATTTGATAATGGGCATTAAGGTTTTAAACTTAAATATTTTGACAATGGGCCCCACTAACAAGTGGGACCCAAAGGTTTAATTTGATAGTGGGCAGACCCACTTTAAGGTTTTAAACTTAAATATTTTGGTAGTGGGACCCACTAGTTTGATTTGATAGTGGGCATGACTCACTTTAAGTTTTTAAACTTAAATATTTTGACAATGGGCCCTGCTAACAGGTGGGATCCACTAGTTTAATTTGATAGTGGGCACGATCCACTTTAAGGTTTTAAANTGGGCCCTGCTAACAGGTGGGATCCACTAGTTTAATTTGATAGTGGGCACGATCCACTTTAAGGTTTTAAACTTAAATATTTTGACAATGGGCCCCGCTAACAAGTGGGACCCACTAGTTTGATTTGATAGTAGGCATGACCCACTTTAAGGTTTTAAACTTAAATATTTTGATAGTGGGCCCCACTGACAAGTGAGACCCACTAGTTTAATTTGATAGTTGGCATGACCCACTTTAAGATTTAAAACTTAAATAGATAGTGGGTCCCGCTGACAGGTGTGACCCACTAGTTTGATTTGATAATGGGAATTCAAATTATATTTTAGTTATCTATTTAGATATATATTTTTATATAACCGAGGTGGATAAGATCCACCGGTTGAATCTTAACTAGTTCATGGGGTAATGTAATTCATCTTCTTAAAGTGGATAAGATCCACCTCATATGACAGTGGGTCCCTCTGTAATAGTTGGAGACAAACTGAAACAGTGGGATCCTAGGGGTCTGTCATTTACAAATGGAAATATTGGCTGCAGCAAACCAATATATCTATCCTCCTTCTCAGGTCTGGAACACATGTGGTGTCCCTCTTTTTAAGTGGATAAGATCCATTGACAGTGGGACCCAGCAGCCTGCCATTTACAAGTGGCAATATAGGCTGCCACAGTAACATATGTCCCCCTTTTTAGGTCTGCAACAGGTGGCAAAGTGCTAAACCAGCACACCTGTTCTATTTTTAGGTAGATAGTAGTGTGCAACAGGTGGCAATGTGCTGTTACAGATCAGCACACCTGTCCCACTGTATGTGTATTGACAACACTGTGTTAACCTACTGAAATACTTTGGGGTGGATAGGATCCACCAATATATCAGAGGCTCCCCAGTACTAATCCTTTTTTTTTTTTATTTTATACATCCTTTTGTGGTGAATAGTGAATAGAATCCACCGGATATATAAGAAAACAATTGAGATAAGAGAGATAAGAGTTGGAATTCAACAAAACTCTAGAGAGAGAGAGAAGGATTAGAGTAAATAAAGTTTAAGGATAGAAGATAAGAGATAAAATAATAAAAATAAATAAATAAAATATGTACCTGTGTATATTTATCCTCTTCAATCAACAAATCCCCTCCTCTATTTTTTCTGTTCTTTCCTTTCTCTCTTTCTTTTCTCTCATTTCTCTATCTTCCAATCTGTCGACCACCAATTTTCTTTTCTCCCCCTTATATAGAGGGAATTCATATTATATTTTAGTTATCTATTTAGATATATATTTTTTATAACTGAGGTGGATAAGAACCAGTGATTGAATCTTAACTAGTTCAGGGGGTATTGTAATTCATCTTTTTAAAATGGATAAGATCCACCTCATATGACAGTGGATCCCTTTATAACAGTAGGCAACAAACTGAAACAGTGGGGTCCTAAGGGTCTATCATTTACAAATGGCAATATTAGCTATAGCAAACCGGTACATTTGTCCTCCTTCTCAGGTCTACAACACATGCTGTGTCCCCCTTTTAAGTGGATAAGATCCACTAACAGTGGGACCCAGTATCTTGCCATTTACAAGTGGCAATATAAGTTGCCACAGTAACATGTGTCCCCCTTTTCAGGTTTGCAACAGGTGGCAAATTGCTAAACCAGCACACCTGTTCTATTTTTAGGAAGACAGTAATGTGCAATAGGTGGCAAAGTACTGTTACAGATCAGCACACCTGTCCCATTTTTAGTTCGGGATGGATAGGATCCATCGAGATATCATAGGCTCCCCAATACTAATCCCTTTTTTTTTTATTTTATACATCATTTTGTGGTGAATAGAATCCACCGGATATATAAGAAAACGATTGAGATAAGAGAGATAAGAGTTGGAGTTCAATAAAACTCTAGAAAGAGAGAGAGAGAAGGATTGAGAGTAGATAAAGTTTAAGGATAGAAGATAAGAGATAAAATAACACAAGTAAATAAATAAAATCTGCACCTGTGTATATTTATCCTCTTCAATCAACAAATCCCCTCCTCTATTTTTTTTCTATTCTTTCCTTTCTCTCTTTCTTTTCTCGCTTTTCTCTATCTCCTCTCTTTTCTCTATCTTCCAATCTGCCGACCACCAATTTTCTTCTCTCCCCCTTATATAGAGGGAGACAGTTATGGGGAAGGGAGGTTAGAGCAACCTCCCCATTATATATTTTTAGTCCTAAACAGTCTATAAATTGGCTGTATGTCTTTGTAGAAAAACCATGTCCATATGGAAGATTATGCCATGATATCCAGCTGAAAGCCATTCATTCCATTAAGATTCCACATAGATTTACATTGCTTCTATTGCGATTTCATAGGGGGTTTTTGGACACTAAAAGGTTTTGTTTAATAAGGGCGTAATAATCTCTAAGAGTAAGGGGATATGTTTATTATGTTAAACAGCGGAAGAATATAACTATGATGTGTTGATCCAATCCATGTATACAATCAGGTGAGGTGCTTGGATGTTGGTTTCAGAATTTTCTGTGATGGGTAGGGTTAAGGTTAGAAAAAATTCAGTTGGGTCATATCATGGTTTTCCAACCATCATTGACCCAGACAATCAGACCACTTGGCCAAGAAACTGTTAGTCAACCAGTTCCGTTTCACCCTTGAATAAAAATCTTGCTAAAAACTGCTATCTTGATCAGCAACCTGCTGACCTGGATGGTCAAACCGTCAACTTGTTAGACCCAAACAACGGTTTTTATTTTAATATTTTTTATTTATTAAAATTTGAATAGGTCATCTGTTCAGACCAGACAATCGAACCGCTGACTGGAAACCGGTGGCCAAAGCGGTTCCGATTCTGGGTCAATTTTTAAAGCACTGCTACCTTTCCCTTTTTTTCCCTACTTTTTCCTTCAAACCAAACATAGCCTAATGGACGTCAGTTTGTGGTTTGTGGTGGCTGGAGGTGGTATTTTGGGTCGGCAGTCCAATGAGGAAATTAGAAAAAAAATATCCAAAATAGAAATGACTAACTCCTGCAATGACTTGTAGAAACAAGTATAACAAACCCCAAAACTCTCAGTAAATCAAATTAGAATATCTATGAAGGGACCACGATTTCAAAGAAAGAATCCATAACCTGTCCATATATGGAAACTGTAACAGGTTGCAACCCAAAAGAGAGATCAAAACTCTCTCAAATCAGATCGAGATCCAAATCAGCAATGGATAACAGCTGAATGAATAATGGGTCCAGGCAATCTAAAATTCAAGTTTTCACTTGAACTAACTGCTATTGATAGAGGAAACAGGAAAACTAAAATCCGGTTGCGCAGCTTCAAGAAATCAGCAGATTAGGGCTGATCAAAATAGCCCTAGTACCACTCCGCAAACAGAGAAGAAAAGGATTCTTCGTACAGAAAATAAAACCAGAAAATTAGCAGCCTAAAGCAAGTGGAAGAGAGAAACAAGAGAATCTGTATGAGTGTGTCTGCAATGAAGACATCACCCGGAAAATCAGTATTTATACTAGAAAAGAATGAAAGAACCATTCTGTCTTCTCATAAAAGAATAATTACAGAGATATCAAAAATGATCTAGTGTACAAGTTAAATGATATAGTTGTGCTTAGAGAAAAGGCAATAACAGACCATATCATCCCTCAACTCCTCTACATATCCATCCTATGATCCATCCCCAATAATCCTGTCTTAATTGCATCATCCAATTTACAACTGGATATTGGTGCAAAAATTGCACAAATTGCAGCATCTTCCTCCTATCTTAACAATAAAATCTTCCTACCTCTATTCTTTTACATATAAAGTGGGAACCACATCAAATTGCTTTCTACGAAGTTTTTTTGCAAGTGTATGATGCAGTTTCTTTAACGAAGAGCATCATCAAGAAAAAAATCCCTTTTCCTTCTTCAGAGAATGAAGAATTACATGAAATTATTTGATTTTTCAAGAGAAACTTTCAAAGAAAAAAAAAAAAAAACGAATAAGCAGAGGGGGGGGGGGGTTAATGGTTTACCTTCCTATCGCCATCGATGAGTATACCATCGCATAGATTTCTGTAGATCTCCTTCTTCGTCCAAGAATTGACCTGAGAACCCGACCTTTTGAGAATTTCCTGGTAATCCGGTGGCAGCAATTTCTCATGATCATCACCAGATTCCGAAGTGGGTACGAGTGTCTTCTTTCTTGGAAATAAGCAAGGGGGTAAAAGAGCAGATGGATTTTCCAAACAGGCCATGATAGATTGATCGATGGACAAAGATTTTGAGCGAAAGAGAGGATGTTGAAATCTGGTTCTATACTTCCATGGAAGAATAAAGGTTTGAGTAATGGGCTTTAGACTAAACCGTCATTGGGCAACGCCAAGACTTTTCAATATTAAATGGACGACAAACGGCTTTGTGAGTTCTGGGTAGAATATAAAAATCACCCTTAAATTTTCCGACAATCATATAAACCTCTCTTTTGATATTTAATAAAAACCTCCCCTGTAATTGACCTAGGCTAAGAACCACACCAGGAAGCACTTATTTGGTTTTTGGTTGAATAATCCCCAAATAAGTGTTTAATCCAAGCTGTGTTGCAGCCCATTCCTATTCATTCGATGATTATTATTCAGTATCCCATAAAATTAGTTTGGAAATTGATAAGTAAATAAAATTAGTTTGGAAATTGAAACGGGGAGGATGCGGTTTATAGAAGGGATTGCTAATAGATTATGGGGGCTGTAATTTCAGATTTCTGCTGCGAACTGCAATGACAGTGAAAATTTTTGATGGGTCAAGTCTGAGTCAAACCCTCATCCTTATAGATGGTGTGCTTGGCATCGCTTTGCTCGGTCGAAAGATCTAGGTGTAGTCTGGGATTTCGGGTAACAAGATTTTGTGAATTTGATTTTGTCCAAGAAACTCGGCTACTTTTGAACTATCTAAATTTAGGTTCTCATATTGAACTACCTAAATTTGAGAATGACCCAACCCAACCCGGAAAAAACTGGGTTGGGTCATGGTCAAGCCGTTGACCCGATTGCTAGGTCTAATTGGGACTATTTATGCATTGTTAGAAGTTTCCACTCTTTAATTTTTAGTAGTTAGTCTTTATTATTTGAATTGTTAAATGTTCAAGTTTTTTCATTTTATATTTGAATTTTTAAGGTTATTTCCTTTAATTTTGGCAATTTTCATATATTTATTCTTCATTTTTTAAATTTTAATTATTTTTTGGATAACTCAAATTGACCCATGGGTCAACCCTAACCCGAACATTTAGGGTGAGGGTCTACCATTTGGCAACCCAACCCAAAGTTTCTTGACCCAACTTGAACCCGACCCGCCCAACCCAATTGCCAGGTTTAGATTAAAGAGTAAATTAAAAAAAAGTATAAGGATAGTTGATTATAACAAGAAAGGGTTTGTAATAATATTATCCTCCTTTTTATTTGGCAAGTTGCGATGTACAATCAACCAAGTTATCTATAATAATAAAATAAAATAAAAAATGAAAAGTAGAAAAGTTTTTTTTAGAAAAAGTAGAGAGTGGTGGCAATTTCTATTGGAAATTGTTGGTTTCAACTTATTACAGTAATTTATTATGATTTGAGCTTTTAAGAGAGAAAGTAACACTAAACATTTATGGATGTGACCAGAATTTTTTTTTTTTTTTGTTAAAAGATAGATTCATTCATTGAAAGAAACAAGATCCAAATACAAGACATTGGGACCAGCCATTGCCTCCGACTCAAAGACATTAAGAGGGTTGTGAACCCAACAACCTTTAGGACAGTTGGTGCTAGAGAAAGAGTGGGCTATTACATTCAAATCCCTTTTAATAAAACACCATTTTACTGAGACAAAAGATGAAGCTAATTGTAGAATGTCATCAAACATAAACCAAATATCTGAATGGGTCGAACTTGAGTTTGATTTGAGTGCCTGAATCAAAAGCAGACTGGCACTATGAACTGCAATCGAAGTGAGACCAATTTTCTTGCCATGACGATGGCAAAGGATTATGAGAATAATGCTGATCTTGGGGGACCTAAATCTGATTGAGCTGCCAAAAAAGATCCTCTGCTATCCTTGATCAAAAGCTGCTGTCTGTCCATATGTGGTCAAAACTTGTTTGAGGAGTGTTGTTTTGTGGCTTCAGAGACTGCCACTGGATCCTTGATTGGGTGCAGAGAATTCCTGAATAATTTTGAGAGCACGATATAGTTAAGCCAGGATTTGTCAGTAAATCTTTGAAAACCTTTGTATTTCTTCTAATCCAAGTGCACCCACGAAAAACAATGAAATTAGAGCAAGAGTGAGCTCTAAGCTGTTTATCAGAGGTTGGGTCAAGAGTCGTAGATTGAAACCAATCCCGAAGTTGATTAGGGGAGTTAGAATCCAAGCGAAGCCCAAGGGGAGAGCCAAACCAGATTGCTCTGATTTACTTGCATAGTAAGGAAGATTTTTATTTTCTAGAAAGAGTAGATTATTCACAGATGGAGCTCTTCTACAGCCTCTAATACCCAGAATTTTTTATTTCTCTCTCCTGCACTTAGACTGGCTGAGAAGGCCTCTAAAACAACAAGGAAGAGGAAAGGGGAGAGGGGGTCTCCCAGTCTTAGACCTCTCGTTGGCTTAATAGGTTGACTAAGGGACTCATTGATCAAAATCCTATACAACACCGTTGATACACATTCCACTATCCAACTCGTCCACTTGGATTCAAAACCCATCTTTAGCATCATTTTTTTAGAAAATGCCATTCTATTACTCTATCATACGCTTTCATCATGTCTAGCTTCAAAGCCATATGGATTTTCTCTTTCTTTTCATAAAGTGCATGTTCTCATTAGCTACAAGAATATTATCAGAGATTAATCTACCAGCCATGAAGCACTTTGAAAAGGACTGATCAGTTGGTCCATTACCTACTTTATTCGGTTCACTAACACTTTTGTGATCAGTTTATAAGTGGTGTTACTGAAGTTGATGGGTTTGAATTGGGCCACACTTTCAGGATTGGGTACCTTGGGATTTAACATTATAAATGTGCTATATATTTTTAGGGTTTTAGCAGATAAGGGCAATTTTTTTCCTTAATATCAATAAAAAATAATATTTTTATATAATAACTAAAAAAGAGTAACTTTTTTGGAAAAATATCAAGAAAGGGCATTGTTGCTCGTCTTCCTCCTCTTCCTCTGTATTCATGCGAATGGATGTAACTTTTTTGGATAAATATCAAGAAAGGGCACCAATGCTTGTCTTCCTCCTCTTCCTCTGTATTCATGCGAATGGATCATAAGATTCCGGTTGAGTTATAACAAAAAATGCTCTTCACATCCCATAAAGCAAATCGGCAGCCGCATTCAAGTCTCTGGCTTGTTTGGCAATCTTCGCCAAGGTGTAGAAGGGATTCGCTGTTGTGTTGGTGGCACCATGGTAAGACGCACCGAGGAAAACGAAGACGAATTCGAGCGAGTTGGGCAGTAGAAGCATGATCACTTGACCTGTAAATGAATTCCTTTTGCTTCGTTGCAGTCTCCACTGGAGCAATTGGAGCCATTATAGTTGTAGAAATAAGTTTCAGAGAGAGAGAGAGAGAGAGAGAGAGAGTTCTGGTTTGAGGTTGACTGGGATCCTGAGGTTGTTGATGTCACTTTGACTAAAAAAGCAAGAAGACATTCCACTATGCCACTTATGATTTTACCTAACATGGTTTCTCATGAGGACTTCGGTCATAGTTGTCACCGACAAACTTAACCTACCACGAATATAGAGGCAAAGGAGGAAAATGAGCAACCGTGCCCTTTCTTAATATTTTTCCAAAAAAGCTATCATATTTTAGTTATTATATAAAAATATTATTTTTTATTGATATAAAGGGCAAAAAGTTGCCCTTATCTGCTAGAAACCCTTTATTTTTTCATTTAACTCCCTTGTTTAGAAAAACTCCTTTATGACTTTACCACCGTAGGACCAACACTATTCTTATATTTTTGAAAAAAAATAATTTTGGAAGTCCATCGGGCCTCAAAGCTTTTGAGGGGGTCATTTGCTTGAAAGCAATAATAATTTCTTCTTCACAAACCGACCTTTCAAGAGCTACAACTTAAGCATGCATGGGTAGTGCTTCTATCTATGTTTGCAAGCAAATCCTTTGAGTTTCTACAACCCTCACTCGTAGATGGCCCAAGAGATTTCCTTGGAAAAATTTAGTGTTCTTATCTTGCTTGCTATTAGCTCACCCATGAGAAATTTTAGGTGGTGTTCAAAACCATGGTCATCTCGTAGATGGCCTGTTTCGGTCCATGCCATAGGATGACCATGACATTCAATTTGGTATGGATGAGACTAGTCTACAATATATCATGGACCGGCCCCGTCCACACCTCAAAATCTCCTCAACACACATACACACACATATATATCATGGTAATAATTGGTCCATGGTGATTTTTTACTTTCTACTTGATATTGTACATTGCCTCCTTACATTTATTGTTGGAAGCTCCTTCTTTAATAAAATAATAATAATTTTTTTCATGTTAATATTAAATTTTCAATGTTTTTATCAATAAAATAATATTTTTATTTTTTAAATCATTTGATTACCATTTTGTTAAAATAAATATTACTTTGGTTAATATTAATTTATGGATGCCTATTTCAATCTATTTTGTCATATAAAGTATACAAGTTAAACACTTGTGATCGACTATGTAGATCAATTCATAAATTATATATGAGATACATGGAATCAAAAGGTGTGTGCGTAGATTGAATTAGTCCATAACTCCATATAATCTACCCACAACTTAGAACAACTATGGACTATGATGTAATATGGATTGGTCTTTGCCACAACAGTGTGATGTAGACCAATTCACACCTACCAATTTCTCATCCACGTTACAAAATACTCCCTTATGGGAACCGGCTGTTGTAATCCCCTATGCCATCCAAAGCAAAGGGGAGTGGTCTTGGAAAAGCATTGATAAAATTTTCAAGCCACCTTATTTAATAATTATGCATAAGGAAAAGACAAAAGAGGAATTGACATACACAACAAACTTGAATAGTAGTATTAGTAGTTGTTTTATTTAGGATAAATTGTTGTGACCTCCACTAAAGTTTGGTATTTTGTAATTATCTTCCTTGAACTTTTTGGCATAGCAGCAAAGTAGACCCCTTCTGTTAGAATCCTCTAAAACGAGGCATAAAATGTCCAAAATACTCTTGCAACTACTTTTGACCAAAATGTTTATTTTCCAAATTTTCTTTTCATATGAATTTCTAGCCCAAGCCCTTCCAATCTCTTTTCTGAATTTAATTTTATTTTTCAAATTTGCCCTTCATATCAATCACTCAAAGGCAAAACTACCACATTAAATTTTATTTTTTCTGGTTGATTATAAATTTTGTATTGTTTTTTCCATAAAAAATGAGCCTCAGTAATAATTGTATGGGTATTTTGGACATTTTTCATATCTTTTGTTAGATGATTCTAATGGAGGGGATCTACTTACAACCATGTAATAAGGTTCAGGGGAGGTGATTACAATTACGGAACTTCAAAGAGATTTCAATAATGGTCCAAAACTTTCCCAAAGTTTTAGAAATTTACGCGCACAAACACACACACATATATATATATATTAATAGTTGAAAAACTTTCCAATAATATTTATGCAAGAAAAAGACAAAAGAGTTTGGCGTTGGATATGCATTATAGTAGTTTTTTTTATATATTGGTAGTTGGGATAAGTCTTAGTAACATATTGCTAAGCTTTTTAATTCACAAGAAGACAAAAGAGTAGTTGGCTTGGATATGATGTAAATATGGGATAATAGTAGTAGTTTTTTATAAGATAAATTGCTGAAACGTCCCTTGAAATTTGGTAACTGCAATCATCTCCTCTAAATTTTTTGATATAATTGCAAGTAGACCCACTCTAGTAGAATCTTCTAAAATGTTAGTAGTTGGGATCTTGGATGGCATCTTATTATATGGAAAACCTATGATGCCGGAAAAGACATGGTACCAGATATTTACAAATTCTTAGAAGTTTAGTGCATATATCTTGACATGTCATTATTTCTTTTGTTCTTTTTAATTTTGTAATTTTCTTTATCTTTTATAAAAGATTTTCCATTTTTACATACAGGCACATGACTAGCTAGTGCCAACACATGGTTCCAACAACACCTCAACCTGTTACCGAAACTATACATCAAGAACATTTTCCATGAATGATAAGGGAGATGTTCTCACAAAGTACTTTTCACACTGATCTCATAGTGTGTCTTGGCAGCACATCAGGAACATCTTTTGTGCATGTATTTATTATCATGGGGAGATGTTCCAAATTAATGGTGGGATGTGACGGTAAGCTCGGCATGAGGAGCATTCTCTAAGGAGAAATGCCAAGTTTTTTTTTTTTTCGTGTGTGTAAAACGGACCCAAGTATGGGACCTTATCAACAGATTTGATGACAATTAATTAAATTAGTTAAATTTGATGACAACTGTGGGGATCAATGATAATGCCACATGGCATTGGGGCATTAATGCATTATTATCAGTACGGCCCATAGCATTAGGGGTGTTCATAAAAAATTGAAAAACTAAAATATCGAACTGAATCGAGCAAACCAAACCGAAAAATGTGATTAATCAAATCAATTGGTTTGGTTTTTTGTTAATCTAGAAAAAACTGGCGGTAATCCAAATCGGCCAATATACGTACTTAAATGCATAATATATATATATATATATATATATATATATTATTTACAATTACTATTTATCATATATTTATTTATAAGATTGTTATAAACATAAGATGCCAAAAAAAAAACCAAAGAATTAAACCGATCAAGTAATGGTATCGGTTCGATTTCAGTTTGAGAGTATGAAAAAACCGATAGAACTGATTCAATTTAAAGAAAAACGGGTCTGTTAACCAAACCGTAAACACCCCTACATAACATAAAGCACAGCCATCAAGTTCAAACAATCTACTCTTCTCTAAAAGATGGATTAATTCATTTAATTGAACTTTATGGCTATGTTATTGTCTGTGGAACCGATAATAACACTCCCATAAATTGCATATATATGGCTCATAACCACCTAATTTCTCACTTTGATTTATGGTTGGTGCGGGGGCATTAATTATCACCAAATTAACATAACCATCTCCGCCACTTGAAGGTCAAAGCCCCCTTCCCTTGTAGACTTTTTTTGGTCGCAGCTAGCTCTAATTCACAAGCAGCAGGGGAAGATTTTACAGGACACAGTTGATGATCTGGGTGGTCTGAGAAATTGCTCTCCTAAAATCCCTTCCAATTCTTTTTTCTGTCACAGCTTGAGCTCGGTTGTAGACTCGTTCTTTCAACCTGCTAATACATACCACACCATGGAGGGAAAGGAGATGGATATGCAGAAGAAGGTTTTAGATGAACTGAAAGAGCTACTAAAGTCTATAAAAACATTTATTACATAAGAAGGAGAGCAGCTGCTCAGAGGTAGTGATGAAGCTCTCAGGGAATTGTCTATCAGACTCCAAAGAATCCAAGCGGATGTTCAGGAAGCTGAGGCGGAGTCTCTCAATTTCATTGTAACCCCATCTGATGGCTCCAAGGGGATGCTTGAATGGTTTTTGGATGCCAGAGCCTTGCTTTATGACATAGAAGACTTCTTGGACAGGCAAAGCGCCAAAGTTCTCGCATTACGGAAGGAAAATGATAGAGATGGAGCTGCTACAGTTAACATCGGAACTCCCAACTCCCAACTTCAACATAKGAGGGGGAGATCTCCAAGAATTCATAACAAGGTACGCAAGTTCTTCCTAAWTCACCTACTTCGCCAAAAAATAAGTTCATTTGAGAAGCGGCTTGAGGATTTAAGAACAAATTCCAATTCTTCTTCTAGTGAATCTACTAGGAGATCTGGTGATATAAGTCGACAGTCATCTGGCGATTCTATTTCGTCTGGTTTTAGTTCTGATGATATAGATCCACAACAATCCGCCGAGGAAGTAGAGATCTTYGGCAGGGAATCCGAAAAGAAAGAAATAATCGAGCTATTGCTAGAGAAAGATGAACAATACCGCGATTCTGTGATTTTGATTTCGATTATTGGTGCCGGGGGTCTTGGGAAAACGGCCCTTGCTAAAATTGTCTATGACGATGACAAGGTGAAGTCCCACTTTGAGATCATGCGTTGGGTACCTATGGGTGATTATGATCTTAGTTCAGATGTAAGTAAGATTGCAGAATCGATAATTAATTGGAAGTTCGGTACATATGGACAACACCCWCGATTCTTTGCAACAACTTAAAGAACGTTTGCGAAGGAAGCGTTTTTTGATTGTGTTGGATGATATGTGGATCGATATCTGGTCAAAACTGTGGGGTTTCCTACAGAACGGGGCAAGGGGTAGCCGAGTTTTGGTCACCACTCGAAGCGAGGTTGCAGTTGCACGGTCAATGGGCATGAGCATGACCCACCTTCAGTACTATTTACAGCCATTGGGAGATAAAGCCTCTTTGTCACTATTTGAGAGTATAGCTTTCTGGGAAAGAAGAAAACCTGATTGCTCGCCGTTGGAAGATATCGGRAAGAAGATTTTTAAAAAAGGTGGAGGATTTCCTCTATTTGTTAAGGCGTGGGGAAGCATTCTCCTTATGGGGGATACAAAAAAAGAGTGGCAGCGTTTCTCTGAGAATGAGATATGGGAGGCTGCTAAGATTGGCCAGTGGCAACTTTATCCGCAGTTGAATGTCTGGAAAAATGTTTTACAATCACTTAAATCGGGTTATGTTAGGTTGCCCAGAGATCTAAAGAGGTGCTTAAAGTACTGCTCGCTATTCCCCAAAGGTTGTTGGATTGAGAAGGATGTCTTAATACAGTTATGGATGGCTGAGGGTATCACCCAAAGTGAGGATAAARGTTGGGAGTTGGAAGATACCAGCATTGATTACTTTGAAAAGTTGGTGTCACAAACTTGTTTCTTTAGGGATGTTGAAAAAGATGAAGATGGGAAAATTTTTAGATGCAAGATCCATGAGCCATTCCATGATTTTGTGCGTGAACTTTCAAGAGATGAATATACATTAATTAAGGATGCAAAAGAAGGATTCAATCATCTTGGGAGGACTCGTCATTTGTCATTGCATTGGGATGTGGATTCAACAAGGAATCGAAGAAATCTTTGTTTYCCCACACTCTCGTGTTTTGGAGGTCTGAAGAAGCGAGATGGTGATGCTACAACTGTGAGTGGTACAAAACCTCTTAGCGCCAGCAATTTGCAAACACTGTTATGTTTTGGAGATCCAGGAAATCAAAATGGGAATACAACAATGATTTTGGGTAACACCAACAGTAATTTGCACACACTGCTATGTTTTGGAAATCCAAAAAATGGTAAGTTGCCAAATCGTCTCTTCTCACGTTTGAATCTGCTTCGAGCATTAGATTTGAGTTCGACTAACATTAAAGAACTGTCACATTCCATTAACAAATTGAAACTCTTGAGATACCTCAATTTGTCTTATACAAGTGTGAAAGGGCTGCCAGAATCAATTTGCGACCTTTGGTTTCTTCAGACATTGAAGCTTTCATATACATTACTTGGTGAATTGCCGAAAGAAACAGGGAAGCTGGTAAACTTGAAGCACCTGGAAATTGAAGGTACTCTTATAAACTATTTGCCTGTTGGGATAGAAAGGTTAACTAGAATCCAAAAGTTGAGTGAGTTCATTGTAAGTGATGGTGAAAGTAGGTGTATGCTTTGTGAACTTCGACCTCTAAGATTCCTCCAGGGAAAGCTAATCATTAGTTACTTGAGTAGACTTAAAAGCATTGAAGACACCCAAAAAGCAGACCTTGCTAACAAGGRTCAAATAGATTGGTTGGTGTTGGATGCTAAGAAACACTTCAGCTTGCGGAAACTGGGTCGCAGCACGCATTTGGCTTCTCTTATGCTAGACCATATCCATAACGAGGACACCCAATTGAATTCATCCAATGAAATTGAGAAGATGACAAGGATGCGTGATGTGTTTGAAGGCATCAAACCTCATTCCAATTTGAAAAAGTTAGAAATATGGAACTACATCGGATCTGAATTCCCCTTTTGGATGAAAGATGCATCATCACTCACAAATCTTACCTCTTTGAAGCTCGTCAAGTGCTTGAAGGCGGAGCATTTACCACAACTTGGTAAACTGCAGAGGCTTAAATTCCTTCTCATATGTGAAATGGATGAAGTGAAAAGCATAGGCAATGAATTCTRTGATGAGGGTARCAGCACAGAATGCTTTCCAGAGTTGTTGAGCCTGGTTTTTGAGAGAATGCGTAAATTGGAGAGGTGGGAAGTCACAAGGGAGGTGGGAGATATGCCTAAATTTGAGGAACTCATACTCCGAGACTGTCCTAGCTTGATATCTCTTCCAAGGTTCCACAAAAAACTGAATAAACTAGAGATTTATAATTGCGAGTCACTTTCTCTTAATCCACCTCTACCATCAGTGGAGCACCTTGTTCTGAAATACAATGATTACATGGTGAATGATAAGCAGCGTTCTTTGCCCAACATTCCGGAGCTCAAATCACTGAAAATTACATTATCATCTGACCTCAGGAGCTTCCCGGAGGGCTTGTGCAAGCTCAAAGCACTCAATTCACTTGATATTCACTTTTGTCCCAAGTTAAGATCATTGCCTGAAGAGCTAAATCAGATGACGATTCATCGACTCTGTATCGTTGGCTGTCCACTTCTAATGGAAATTGATAGGTCGACATTATCCCATATAGCTGATATTGAAATCGACCATGTAAAGATCCAACACTATAACTAAATTGGCTCCCCCAAGGTACAGTTTTCTATTAATATATTTACCAATTTTCTGTTTAAATTCCACTCTTTTTTGTCATTTGCATTTAAATGAAACAAGAGGCACAAGAGGCTATACCTTATTCCAATGCAGTGTTTTGAAAGCCGTGGGAGGGGTATGTCTGGAAGGCGCCCCTCCAGACGAGACACCCCTAAAACGCCCTGAGGCATATGCCCGAGGCACTGACACCTCGTACACTTCAGTGCTTGAAACATAAGTCTCATTTGCTTTTTTCATGAGGTATGCTAGAGGTATATGACTCATGCACACATCATGTAAAAAGACAGAAAAAGAGAGAAAAAAAGAAAAAGAAAAAGGAAAAAAAGGAAAGGAAAGGGGAAAGAAAGCCCCCGGACCTATGCATCGCCATTTTTCTTAATATAAAAGATTTTATTAAAAATAAAAATAAAAGTTCTCCCACTTCTTTCTTCTTCCTCTTTTGCCTCCTTGTGTTGGGGAGACTACGCCTCTTATGTTCTGAACTACGCCTAATGCCTCTAGGTAGTGCCTTAGTGGAATACCTCACCTCACGCCTCCACATTTTAAAACATTGTTCCAATGTTTACTTGTGTTGGATCCATTTTTCTCGCAGATCCTTAATTAATGAATTTCTTTGAGTTTTTACTTTTTCCTGCATGAGAAATGTGAGAAAATTTGATTCCAGGCGTGGATTTATAACTTGAAGGCAAACCAAGCTCCATTTGGGATTATAATGGGACTGATTCATCTGTTGAGCTCATCAATGGCAAAGTTTTAAACTTTCGTACTGAGAGAATTATAAGAACCGTATTGTGCATGGTTTTGAGCATTGAAGAACAGGGCAAGGAAAGAAGTGATGATCAAGTCGATCTAGCAGGCATCCGATTCATAAGTGTGGAAGGCCTAATTCATAGGGAGAAAAACAAATTCAGTCGTAGACTTGATGGAATTGAAGTTCAGTTCAGTTGTTTTCTTTTCTCTTCTTTTTTCCTCCTCCTTAATCTAGAGTTGTACCGCATATTGTGAGGGATTGATGTTTGTTGTCATTTATATTTCTACAATTAGAGGCTGCTGATTTCTTTTACAGACGATATAGTTTATTGTTTGCCAAATGCCAATGCACAATTTTATTTTATTTATATCTATATTACTATTAGAAATACAAATGGGGTCTCATATTTTGGGACATTTTCTTCATTAAAATACCACTGTGGTCAATCCACGATGTCATAAAACTCACCATGATTTTAACCCAGGACCTTGAGGGGTCTCCTTTCCCCTTTTTCTCCCTCTTTCCCTCTTGCCTCTTCCCTACTGTCACAGGACACGGAAATGAGCAAATGCTCCCTGCGTTCAAATTTTGTTCCCAGGACCTTGAGGAGTCCTAGCAGCTCTAAAATAGGTGCAGTTCTTGTTTCTGAGACAGTGTGTGTGATACCAATAACATACAGAATTGACCTAACAATTAATGATGATAAGTTTTAATGATACAACCACTCTTTGGGAAGACAAATTTCATGGGCTGTGACTGCCCCTAGGGGTGTAAGCTCCACTTTTGTTGACGTATCAGTTGTAGGGATTTAAATAAATGAGATTGGATTTAAATCGGGACATATTTGAAATCGATCCAACATTGTTCATGTCGGATTCGATCAGATCTGAAGATCTGATCGGATCTGATAAGACTAAATTTGAATTCAAATTATAAAAGTAATTCGGATCTTTGGATCTGATTTGATCTGACTTGTTTTTTTTTTAAATAATAAATTATTAAAAGAAAAATAAAATATACTAATTTAAATAAAAAAAATTAAAAGCAAAAATACAAGTATTTTTTAATTATTTTCATCATATATATATGTTTTTTATAAAAAATAAATATTATAACAAATTTATAAAAATATATATACATATATTTATAAATAAATAAATAACATATATATGTATTATATATATTTATATTTATAAATATATAATATACATCAGATTGGATAGGGGGTGATCCAAATCCGAACCGATTTCTGATTGGATCATATTATTCGATCCAATCGATCCAAATAGGGGGTGATTTGAATTCGACCAAATAGGATCAAATCGGATCATGATCCGATCCATTTGCGCCCCTACTTAGTAGGTATGGCAATGGAACGGGTTTGGGGACGGTTTTGTAAATTCCAGACCCTATCTGCCTCTCTAGGCCTCCTAACCCATACCCTCTCAAAACTCCATAGCAGGTTAAAATTCAAACCCTCCCACCAGTACCCTCTCCAAACTCCATAGCAGGTTAAAATTCAAACCCTCCCTATGCATGAAAATGCACTTAATTTTCTATTATTTTCTATTAAATATAAGCAATAAACAAGTAACATGACTAAACATCAAAATTTCCAATTATTTGATTAAAGCATTTAAAAAACATATAAACTATCTTTGTTAGAAAAAAAAAACCATATAAACTATCAATTATTCTTCACATAAAATTCAAAATATTCTTAAATTCAACACCTAATACATAATTTCAAGTCTTTAAACAATATGTGGGTCAAGACATATTTCATGGTCTATGGCTGCCCCCTTGAGGGCGGAATTGCTCTTCTTTTGTGCAGAATTGCTCTTCTTTCGTTGACACTAGTAAATGTGGATATGCTTTGCACATGGTAATTCTAGATGATAATAATTATAGTAATAATATATCCAAAACTTTCTATAAACTTTATGTATTTTTTATTTTTTGTTTTTTATTATTAATCAGATGCATATTGCAAAATCAAAATCTAATTACATAAACGCATCATCCATATATGTGATAATCAAATCGAATTGTGAAGTTTCAAGTATCATTGATAGGCCTACCTACTTGTGTACACTCTTTTTTTTGTAGTGTATTATCTTTTTGGTGTATTTATTTTCTTTTGTTCATTTATCAAACAAATGTAAGATTTAAATAGAGGAAATTGAATGAGGTGAAAAGTAGTAATTCAATTTACAATTTACAATTAAATAGAGAATTCAAAAATGAGTATTTTAGTCACTATTTTAAAAATCGAACCAGACCAATCGAAATTTTATAGCCTAGGAATTGGTTAGGTCATCGATTCCAATCTAGTCATGAATTTCTATTTTTCAAAAAACCATTGAAATGAACAGAGAACCACTAACTCGGATGGTTTAACCATTAAAATTTTTTACCTGGTTATGGTTTTCGAGTTGCTTTCAAAATGATTTCAATTTTTTTATTTATTTTAAAATAGAAATTAGAAAATAAAAAATTGAGAAGAGAAGCTTACATATCTCATAATCTTATTCGACTATTCTCAATGGCCAAAATTAGTTAGGGTTTTATAATTTTTTCCATTTTGATTTTGAGCTTTTTGATAATTTTTGTGATTTTTTAAGTTATAACAACAAAAAAATTGAAACTCCAATGAAGAAATTGAAAAATCGATACAAGAAACGAGAGATTTAACATCGATCTTAGATTAGAAATTTGAGGTACACCAATGAACCAAATGATCTACGATCTAGGATAGATTTAAAGAGATGAGAGAGATAGCCACCGCCAGTGATTCCTTCTTCTTCTTCTTCTTCTTTCTCACTTCTCAGCTTTAACTAGTTACCTCATTCTCAAAATATTACACTCTCCTCTCATAATAATGTATATATAGTGGACTTTTACCAATTTGACTCGCTCAAACTGGATGGTTGAACCACTGACCCAAAAGCTAGAAGCCGAGACGAGGTTATATTTTCGGGTTGGTTTTTAAAACCCTGATTTTAGTCAAAAGAAAGTTCCACAATGTCATTCATATTTTTAATAGTAGTGTAAATATAGAAGTATTCATACTTTTTGTTTAATATGAAAAATATATGATATTATACATGTGTCTAAATGCTTTTTTTTTCTAAATTTATGTATTTTTTTCATTCTTATATTTTTAAATTTTATTATTTATTTATGACATTAAAGGTCAACACATTTAACCCCCAAAATTTGAACTATTTATTATTAATTTTTATATTTCATTTTTTATAAAAAATAATAATTCTTGTTTATTACACTTATTCTTCAATTTGATTATTAAAAATATCATATATGTGTCTAATTTTTTTCTACATTTTTTTTTAATTTTCTATATTGATTTCTATTTTAAAAATTTTATTACATAACTTTAACTTCTTAGATTGATCAATTTGATTCAGATAGTCAAATTGCTTAGCCACCACTTGGGTAAATAATGATTTTGTTTTTGAGCCAGTTTTAAAATATATGGGTTTATATTGTTATTGATATTGACATTGATCTAATTAATAGTATTTATTGGTGAAAAATAATTTAAAGGTATAGGATTTAATAAGAGAAAATGGGATTTAATACTTTGAGAATATGATTCAATGAGAGGGGATTAAATGAGGTGGAAAGTAAATAATTGAAGTTACATTTTCAACCCTTACAATTAGAGATGGATTAAATACACAAATATGGTCATTTTAGTAGTCATTAAAGGCTTTAAAGCTATAGTAAAATGATTTTTATACCCTTTCTCTACAAAAAAATAGAGGCTAATTTTAGTCTAGAAAAGGTTTTCATTACATCCACACATTTATATATAGTATAGATAGATAGGCATTTCTCCTAGTAATCTTTGAAATGCAATTTGCCCAAGAAAAAGGGAGAAATTAGTCTTACTCAAAGAAAATATAAAAACACATTATACAAAGAATGCAAGTTATTACCATATTCAAGGGCGAAGAAAAGGCCTAAAATCTACATTGAAACACAAATAAACGCCAAGGCCGACACAACTTTTGTTGGGAGTAGAACTGTTGAAGTTTGTGATGCAAACCCACAACTAATTGTAACTAGTGAGCTCTAGACTCGTCAACCAATATTTTGAGACATTTTTAAACAATTATTTACATGTTTTCGTTTTTAAATAATTATTTATAGGGATAGTTTAATTTGGTCATGTGAACTATTTAAGTGCTTAGGCAAACAACTTCTATTAGTGATCATTAATAGTGATATGATGAAAGATCAGTTTTGGACAATAAAAGCTCATTGACAGGGGGCTCTTTAGAGGTTTTGAAAGCTCAGGGTGTGTTTAAGATAAATGAGAAAAAGTCAAGGTGAATTTTAGATAATATCCCTTAAATAAAAGTTAAAAATAGATAGTAATACACAAACTATAGGTAAAAAAAAAATGAAAAGAAACATCTAAAAACATCTCTATTGTCATATATTCAACATATT